GACCCGGTGGCCCGGTGGCTAAAGCTCCCGCTTCACACACGGAGGGCCCGGGTTCGATTCCCGGCGGGTGGAAACATTTCGACACGTTCCATTAACCTGTTGTCCTGTTCACTAGCAGCAAATAGTACATGGTGTTAGTCGACTGTGTGGGTCGCATCCTGGGGGACAAGATTAAGGACCCCAATGGAAATAAGTTAGACAGTCCTCGATGACGCACTGACTTTCTTGGGTTATCCTGGGTGGCTAACCCTCCGGGGTTAAAAATCCGAACGAAATCTTATATCTTATCTTAGTGCTCTACGAAAATTTGATAAATCTCGTCCCCTAGTTCTCCGTATCCAACTTTGGCTACGCCGTATCTCTACCAAGCATATTGTTTTTTGTTGGGTCCCTTTTCATGTCGACGTACAGGGCAATGAACAGGCAGACACTGCTGCGCGGTCAGCAGTACATGACCTACCAATTGCCTATAGAGGTGTTCCATTTCTGGACTATTTTGCTACAATAGCTACCCACCTTCACACCCATTGGCAACAACGTTGGTCAACTCTGCTTGGTAACAAACTTCATTCTATTAAACCGAGCATAGGTTACTGGCCATCTTCTTGTCATCAGTGCCGAGGTTGGGAGACCACTCTCTCCCGCCTTCGCATTGGCCACACTCGTCTTACTCATGGAGAGGCACCCTGTTCCTCTCTGTGAGCAGTGTCAAATTCCAGTATCGATTAGCCACATTCTGTTAGACTGCCCTCTTTATCAACGTGCACGCATTACAGTGGACCCCCGCATAACGATATTAATCCGTTCATGAGAGCTGATTGTTATGCGAAATTATCGTTATGCGAATGAATTTTCCCCATAAGAAATAATGGAAATCAAATTAATCCATGCAAGACACCCAAAAGTATGAAAAAAAATTTTTACCACATGAAAATACATTTTCCTACACAAAAGAGAAGGATACATGCACAATATAGAGTAGTTACATGCACAGTATATATTGTGCATGTACTACTCTACTAAATGAAGAATAAATAGACACTTACCTTTATTGGAGATGCAGCAATAACTGATGAGACACTGTCCTGGGAATGCCTTTTCCTCCTGAGTACTGAAGGTCCTGTTGGCATTTCTTCCAATTATTAATATAATCAAAAAGAAGCGCTAAGCATTTTCTTCCAGAACAGGCCTTATCACACTCACTACGATTCTTAAATCTCTCTAACCAACCTTTGCTGGCTTTAAATTCACCAATATGAGCACTAGTTCCAGGCATTTTTCCCTGTTCATCTGGGTGTTAGTCGACTGGTATGGGTTGCATCCTGGGAGAAGATTAAGGACCCCAATGGAAATAAGTTAGAGTCCTCAATGATGCACTGACTTTCTTGGGTTATCCTGGGTGGCTAACCCTCCGGGGTTAATTGTTTCTCGGTAATTGTTTCACGTTAAGCCACACCAACACACTCTCCACATCTTCGAGTAATACAGCTTATGGTGGTGCAGCAACAACAGCTGTAGTGCAGCTGACCATGGTGCAGCAGCAGCTGGGGCAGCAACAGCTGAGCATGGTGCAGCTGCAGCTGTGGTGCAGCAGCAGCAGCTGTGGTACGATAGTATTTATCATCCTTTTTACCACAGGGTTGGCACTAGAAGCTTTCTTTGGGCCCATGGTGGCTTATTTAGCAGTTACAAGCACTATAAATAATGGAATAATACAAAATGTATCGAATGTATGCATGCAACCGCCCACCCTGGCTTGTAAACAATGACGGCAAGGCAGGCGCTACAGGCTGGACGGACAGGTCCGGGACGAGTCATGTTCAGAGACAGCTGATGGTGCAACAGCAGCTGACCGATCCAGCAACAGCTGACCGATCCAGCAACAGCTGACCGATCCAGCAACAGCTGACCGATCCAGCAACAGCTGACCGATCCAGCAACAGCTGACCGATCCAGCAACAGCTGACCGATCCAGCAACAGCTGACCGATCCAGCAACAGCTGACCGATCCAGCAACAGCTGACCGATCCAGCAACAGCTGACCGATCCAGCAACAGCTGACCGATCCAGCAACAGCTGACCGATCCAGCAACAGCTGACCGATCCAGCAACAGCTGACCGATCCAGCAACAGCTGACCGATCCAGCAACAGCTGACCGATCCAGCAACAGCTGACCGATCCAGCAACAGCTGACCGATCCAGCAACAGCTGACCGATCCAGCAACAGCTGACGCGATCCAGCAACAGCTGACCGATCCAGCAACAGCTGACCGATCCAGCAACAGCTGACCGATCCAGCAACAGCTGACCGATCCAGCAACAGCTGACCGATCCAGTCAACAGCTGACCGATCCAGCAACAGCTGACCGATCCAGCAACAGCTGACCGATCCAGCAACAGCTGACCGATCCAGCAACAGCTGACCGATCCAGCAACAGCTGACTGATCCAGCAACAGCGATTCTTAAATCTCTCAAACCAACCTTTGCTGGCTTTAAATTCACCAATATGAGCACTAGTTCCAGGCGTTTTTCCCTGTTCACCTGGGTGTTAGTCGACTGGTGTGGGTTGCATCCTGGGAGACAAGATTAAGGACCCCAATGGAAATAAGTTACAGTCTTCGATGACACTTTTTTGGGTTATCCTGGGTGGCTAACCCTCTGGGGTTAATCGTTTCTTGGTATTCTCAATAAGCCACACCAACAACGGTGCTACAGCAGCAGCAGCTGACAGTGCTACAGCAGACGATGCTACAGCAGCAGCAGACGGTACTGCAGCAGCAGCAGACGGTACTGCAGCAGCAGCAGACGGTACTGCAGCAGCAGCAGCAGCTGACGGTGCTACAGCAGCACCACAGCTGACGGTGCTACAGCAGCACCAGCAGCTGACGTGCTACAGCAGCACCAGCAGCTGACGGTGCTACAGCAGCACCAGCAGCTGACGGTGCTACAGCAGCACCAGCAGCTGACGGTGCTACAGCAGCACCAGCAGCTGACGTGCTACAGCAGCACCAGCAGCTGACGGTGCTACAGCAGCACCAGCAGCTGACGGTGCTACAGCAGCACCAGCAGCTGACGGTGCTACAGCAGCACCAGCAGCTGACGGTGCTACAGCAGCACCAGCAGCTGACGGTGCTACAGCAGCACCAGCAGCTGACGGTGCTACAGCCAGCACCAGACAGCTGACGGTGCTACAGCAGCACCAGCAGCTGACGGTGCTACAGCAGCACCAGCAGCTGACGGTGCTACAGCAGCACCAGCAGCTGACGGTGCTACAGCAGCACCAGCAGCTGACGGTGCACAGCAGCACAGCAGCTGACGGTGCTACAGCAGCACCAGCAGCTGACGGTGCTACAGCAGCACCAGCAGCTTGACGGTGCTACAGCAGCACCAGCAGCTGACGGTGCTACAGCAGCACCAGCAGCTGACGGTGCTACAGCAGCACCAGCAGCTGACGGTGCTACAGCACACCCACAGCTGACGGTGCTACAGCAGCACCAGCAGCTGACGGTGCTACAGCAGCACCAGCAGCTGACGGTGCTACAGCAGCACCAGCAGCTGACGGTGCTACAGCAGCACCAGCAGCTGACAGTGCTACAGCAGCACCAGCAGCTGACAGTGCTACAGCAGCACCAGCAGCTGACAGTGCTACAGCAGTCACCAGCAGCTGACAGTGCTACAGCAGCACCAGCAGCTGAGTGCTACAGCAGCAGCAGCTGACAGTGCTACAGCAGCAGCAGACGGTACTATAACAGCAGCAGCAGCTGACGGTGCTACAGCAGCAGCAGCTGAGTGCTACAGCAGCAGCAGCAGCTGAGTGCTACAGCAGCAGCAGCTGACAGTGCTACAGCAGCAGCAGCTGACAGTGCTACAGCAGCAGCTGACAGTGCTACAGCAGCAGACGATGCTACAGCAGCAGCAGCAGACGATGCTACAGCAGCAGCAGACGATGCTACAGCAGCAGCAGACGATGCTACAGCAGCAGCAGACGATGCTACAGCAGCAGCAGACGATGCTACAGCAGCAGCAGACGGTGGTACAGCAGCAGCAGCTGACGGTGCTGCAGCAGCAGCAGCTGACGGTGCTGCAGCAGCAGCAGCAGCAGTTGACCATGGTACCACAGTATTTCGATAATATTTCTCACCCTTTTTACCACAGGGTTGGCACTAGAAGCTTTCTTGGGGCCCATGGTCACTTATTTTGCAGATAAAATCACCAAAAACACTAATAATACGAAATGTTACGATTGTATGCTTGGATGTTACCGCGGAGGCTGGCTTGTAAACAATGCCGCCGGCGGAACATGTGAGGCTGGCTCAGGCCTCACAGACGTGTCTCGGACGAACAGCGTTGAGCGGGTTTTTTAGCGGTATGCGAGGCAAAATCTTAGCGATAAAATGTATCGGTATGCAGATTTAACGTTATGTAAGGCCAACGGTATGCGGGGGTCCACTATTATTATAATAAAAAAGAAGCGCTAAGCCACAAGGGCTATACAGCACTGCAACGTGCACGCAGAATTTACCTCCGTCGTCGTCTTCGTTCTACTACTCTCTCTTTAAATTCCCTTCTTGCTGATGGACCCTCCTTTAATCCTGACTCGCTCATTGACTTCTTGATGACTGATTTACTCCACAAACTCTGATGATGATACCTTTCACACTCCCCTCAGCCCTTTCTAGCTCAAGTCTCTTGCTGCCATTTACCATTTCACCATCCGCTGTTATCCGTAACCTATTACTCATCCATCTCCCTTTTGCCACCTGATGCCCTCGCTTCCTTCCTGCCCTGCAGCGCTGTATAGCCCTTGTGGCTTAACGCTTCTTTTTGATTATAATAATATACAGCGCATGTGGGGGATAAGGAAGGTATTCAGGTTTAATTCTGGGAATTGGAGCAGATCCAATTCCCTAGATCAAGAGCCCCTCACCAGCATCAAGGGGTTAAAAGAGCCCCTCACCAGCACTGAGGGGTTAAAAAGGATAGAAATACAAAAGAAAATAATGGCTTTAGTTCATATCTTGTACATTCTTGGCACATAAGGCACATACAGAACACTTACACTGTGTTTATCACTTATACTACTGCAAGCAAACTCAAGTATATTGTTGTATTAAATACACAGTGGTAAGGCACAATGTATTAAAAACAATGTTTAATTCTACATGTAAAAGTAATGTTGAATTTAAACCACTTCATAATTAGGTATATATATAGCAATGAAAAGCAATAGTAATTCATATTTATCTCCGATTTGTTGAAAAAAAGATATGATACATGTATATACGTACATACTTACCTACACATATATAACTCAAGAAAATAAAAATTCCATGTCCTTTCATAATGATACATTATGTAAGAATCTTGAATTTTTTTTTTTTTTTTTTTTTTTTTACCATTGTGGAAAATTTCTTAAGAATTGTGTGTATTTGTCATGCACTGTATACACATTTTATATTATAAAAAAAAAATAAGTGACAACTAAGGTGACTAACATTTTAGCTTAATGTACATTAGTGTTTTCAGATTGTACTGCACTATTCATAAGTTAATGATTTTTTAACAATTGTTATTAATGTATTCCAGATCAAAAGAATATAATCAAGCTGCAATATTAAAACTAAAGAAATCCTCTAGTCCAGAGCCTGAAGTTGACTGCAAATGCCAAAAGTACACCATAAACCTGTCAACATTCTCCTTTACAAAGGTGATCCTCAGTCATTCCTAAACAATTTCCTTAACTTCTATAATAAAACTCAACTCTGTAGTGCACATTTATAGAATAAATGTGCACTACAATACTGTACGTCCAACTTAGTCTTCGTGCAGTCTGCCGTTACCTTTATTTTCTGATCTTTATAAATTAAGACAAAATTGCTATCTTTGTGAAGGTTTATAATACTATTAGATGTTTAAGCATTGCAAAAATTAAACCAAAATGGTGACCCCCCACACATTACGTCAGCCTGCCATTTTCCCAAGACTTAGAAATAGCTTCCCATGAGTTTTATCCTAAGTTTATAAACAGCTTAAGAATGAAGTTTAATACAGTAAAGTATAAAAATAAAAATTTTGTCAATAGGGACACAGGTGATTTATTTAGGAAAGTAGGTACCTACACCACTGACTCCATGAATACTCCCCAACCATTCTCGCTCAATCTTGTGCCCCATCCAGTGTAAACATACTAGATATTCTGTGTAAACATGCTTTGTAATACAGTCAGTTACATTAATATTTTAAGAGAAATACAGAGAAAGTGTATAGTGATGTTAAAAGCGAGAGGAAGTACAGACTATATCAATGGTAGCCAGATTTCCAGCAAATATCAAGAGTTGGGTGTATTAGCAAGTAATAACTTAGCACCAAAGCAATAGTCTAAGACACTAAATTTATTACAAACACTGTATTATGCTTTCATGTGAAATGCATTAACTTTTTATTTTGAAAGTAAAAAAAAAAAAAAATATTTGATCGCTGCATTATTATATGGAATGACATTGAAAACAGAATTGTACTTTTCATTATCCGATACAATACACCATTTAATTATATCCATGTACTGGCATATGGGGAAAAAAAAAAAAAAAAAAAAAAAAGTCAGTTTTATTTAAATAGGAAACACTAAAAACTTCATCCTACATTACTGAAGAAAAAGTATGCAATAGGTATGCGTCTTTGTATTGGCTATATGCACAAACAAAATTCTTGTAAATATTCATATTCACAGGAACATTTAAATACTGTAACAAAAATAGACCTTAGAAATGATTTTGTATAATTACTTTCATAAAGATGCAAATTAAAGTTAAGAAAAATTTCCAAGTCTGAAGTCAGTAACTAAGTTAAAAATTAAAGTATTTCCTGACAAACTTGACAGCAATAGAAGCTCACTGCTAGACAGACAGGGTCAAGAAGGCATAGGTCTTGACAGCTCAAATTTCAGAAGATATTTTTCACTTTAAAACAGATGGAACCCTCAGCATTATCACATTCTCAGTGCCTAAGCTTTGTGCCAAACCAATTAAGATATGAAAGGGTTAATTAACCCTTTCAAAGGAACTTAAAAATTTAAACAATAGTAGACTAGGAAGAAGCTGTGGGTTTATAAAAATCTGAACTGTAAATGGAGGTTGCCAAGACTTTTAAACAAAAAAATAAATGCTTATGTTAATAGGAAAATATTTAGTAAAATCCTAATTACATCATTTAGTGAATAGAATAGTAAGTTACATACAATGACTTCCATGTAAAGTTGATGATCAATTCCACACAACCTGCTGAACCAAAGGTGGTTAACTGCACTGTGATGGAAATCTTGGTATATTGCCAAGTTTCAAAAGTACACTGTGCAAACTTAAGTGGCATACGTATTTGAACACAAACTATCAAGAACTGTGCTATATATATCACAGTATAGAGACTAAATATTTTATGACTAGTAAATAAATATACAAAATACAATAAGTAGACAATTTACAATACAGAAAAGCAGTTTTCCCCACACATTCTCAAAATGAAAGACCAGGCCCTGTAATGTATTTACATTAAAATAATGTGTAAATTACAGACCACAGTGTGTCAAGCTGAAGACAAAGTGTTGACATTCTTTCAAAATAAACAAGCAGTTAACACTACTGTAGATTAACATTTTCAAGCCACAAGGGCTATAGCAACTTTAGAAAGAAACCAATATTTTAGCTAAAATCATTAAAAATATATACATTGTTCAAATAGCATATTTGTCAAGTAAATGTAGGCACTTTGCAAAGTATAAATGCTTTAACAAAAAATTTAATTCACAATCACTCATTGACAAGCATTCAAGATCCCACTTTGAAGTTGGATTGGCACAATATATTAGGATACCCGAAATTGTTTTCTTCCATATCAGCGAATATGACACTTGTGCCAGCTTTTTGTCCATGACATTTTCTTTGCAACTCAATGTCCTGCCACCTGTAAGTAAAAAAAAAAAATTTCAAAATGCAAGAAATTTATATTGCATATCCCTTCATTTCTAAAACTGACAAATGGGGCCTAAATACAAAAATCTTCTTTAGGCAGCATGTCAAGAAACCTTAGTAAAAAGCTGAAGTACCAGTAAAGATGGAGATGACCTTTTCCTTGGGCAATTATTATACAACAAACTGTATGACCAAAATGGGTTTAGCACTCTGTTATGATTATAATATACAATAAATGCTGCAGTGTATGGAGTTTTCCACAAACACAAGTGATTACCATGTCACATTAAAATACTTAGTGTAAGAGAAACAGAATCGGGGATGCAAACTGACTCAAGAGACCAGCATTCAAGAGAAGTGAGTAAATTGACAGCAACTGTGAAACTAGGAGCTTGGAGGGCAAACCATCCAATTACAATTTTTTTTTTTTTAATAAAAAATGTAAGGACAGGTTTGCATTAAAAACAAAAAAAAACAAAAAAAAAAAAAGAGGAACTAGAAGAACCACTAGTTCAAGTACCAATGCAAAGGAGAGAAAGAGAAAGAGAAAGAAAGAGACCCTTGGTCACAAACTTCATCATGTCGAAGAATTAAAAAAAAAAAAAACACTTATGAAATGATGAGAATCTTCTCCTGAAGGTAATGAAACCAAAAATTCGAAATCTGAGGGAAACTTGTGGAATTATGTTCTTGTGAAGTTAGCAGTCTTGGTGATACTGTATTTATGCATCGGCGATTTCACCCACTGAGCCCTGTTTTGAGCCAATTCCTTTGTTCCACTCAACCAAACTCTGCTATTTCGCTAGAACTCCTGTTATTCTATTGACTGAATACAAGAAACAAACCACCCATTTACCTATTTCAACTACACAAAAAAGTGATCAGAAATTTACCACAAAATTCAAGAAAGGCCAATTTCAAAATAGGGGCCAGAATAGACAATGCAGACATTCCTGGCACTAAAATAACATTTTCTCTGTTCATTAGTCAGGTCACCAGACCCCTCTTATACTACGCTTGCTTTTCATTTTGAATTTTTATTCACACAAAAACTAGATGATTTACTGTTATTCAGATTACTACATAATTGTAATAATTGTATAAATAATATCAGCACATTTGTGAATGCATATCAGACCCACCAACTGACATGTGTTGAACCTATGACGTGATTTTCTTTTACTCTTCAACATTGTCAAAAATCTAACATTTCCACTAATTAGAGCTCAATTTCAAGCTCCTTTTAGTTGTTAAGCCATTCAAAATCACCTGTATTTCTGTAATATATCTTATTTTTGCTGATGATACTGTGCTTATGGGAGATTCTAAAGAAAAATTGCAAAGGTTAGTGGATGAGTTTGAGAATGTGTGTAAAGGTAGAAAGTTGAAAGTGAACATAGAAAAGAGTAAGGTGATGAGGGTATCAAATGATTTAGATAAAGAAAAATTGGATATCAAATTGGGGAGGAGGAGTATGGAAGAAGTGAATGTTTTCAGATACTTGGGAGTTGACGTGTCGGCGGATGGATTTATGAAGGATGAGGTTAATCATAGAATTGATGAGGGAAAAAAGGCGAGTGGTGCGTTGAGGTATATGTGGACTCAAAAAACGTTATCTATGGAGGCAAAGAAGGAAATGTATGAAAGTATAGTAGTACCAACACTCTTAATGGATGTGAAGCTTGGGTGGCAAATGCAGCAGCGAGGAGAACGGTTGGAGGCAGTGGAGATGTCCTGTCTAAGGGCAATGTGTGGTGTAAAAATTATGCAGAAAATTCGGAGTGTGGAAATTAGGAGAAGGTGTGGAGTTAATAAAAGCATTAGTCAGAGGGCAGAAGAGGGGTTGTTGAGGTGGTTTGGTCATTTAGAGAGAATGGATCAAAGTAGAATGACATGGAAAGCATATAAATCTATAGGGGAAGGAAAGAGGGGTAGGGGTCGTCCTCGAAAGGGTTGGAAAGAGGGGGTAAAGGAGGTTTTGTGGGTGAGGGGCTTGGACTTCCAGCAAGCGTGCATGAGCGTGTTAGATAGGAGTGAATGGAGACGAATGATACTTGGGACCTGACGATCTGTTGGAGTGTGAGCAGGGTAATAATTTAGTGAAGGGATTCAGGGAAACCGTTATTTTCATATAGTCGGACTTGAGTCCTGGAAATGGAAGTACAATGCCTGCACTTTAAAGGAGTGGTTAGGATATTGGCAGTTTGGAGGGATATGTTTGTGTATCTTTATACGTATATGCTTCTAAGCTGTTGTATTCTGAGCACCTCTGCAAAAGCAGTGATAATGATGTGAGTGTGGTGAAAGTGTTGAATGATGAAAGTATTTTCTTTTGGGGATTTTTTCTTTTTTTGGGTCACCCTGCCTCGGTGGGAGACGACCGACTTGTTGGGGGGGGGGGGGGGGGAATCTTCTATGTCATGTCTGAGGGCAATGTGTGGTGTGAATATAATGCAGAGAATTCGTAGTTTGGAAGTTAGGAGGAGGTGCGGGATTGCCAAAACTGTTATCCAGGGGCTGAGGAAGGTTGTTGATGTGGTTCGGACATGTAGAGAGAATGGAGCGAAACCAGAATGACTTCAAGAGTGTATCAGTCTGTAGCAGAAGGAAGGCAGGGTAGGAGTCGGGGTAGGCCTAGGAAAGGGAGGTAGGAGGAGGTAGGAGGAGGAGGAGGAGGAGGAGGAGGAGGGGGGGGGGTAAAGGAGGTTTTGTGTGCGAGGGGCTTGGACTTCCAGCGGGCATGTGTGAGCGTGTTCGATAGGAGTGAATGGAGACAAATGGTTTTTAATACTTGACGTGCTACTGGAGTGTGAGCAAAGTAACATTTATGAAGGGGTTCAGGGAAACCAGCAGGCTGGACTTAAGTCCTGGAGATGGGAAGTACAGTGCCTGCACTCTGAAGGAGGGGTGTTAATGTTGCAGTTTAAAAACTGTAGTGTAAAACACCCTTCTGGCAAGACAGTGATGGAGTGAATGATGGTGAAAGTTTTTCTTTTTCGGGCCACCCTGCCTTGGTGGGAATCGGCCAGTGCTTTAATAAATAAATAATCTTCTATTCTATCAAATGAGACCAAGAAAATGATAATACAACCATAAATACCTTACGAAAATACACCACAAATTCCCCGTTTTAAACCAAAAACACAGTCGCAGTTTTTTTTTCTCATTACACAATGCTTGATAGCTTTTTTTTTTTTTTTTTTTTTTTAAATACTGTGCATACTGACCATGCAGGTCTACAAGCTTTCTCCCACAAGATTGGAAGCCACTAGAATTTTGGCGTAGTATTACAGGACCGATACTGGCTTCAAAGCCATAATTTTATAGGACCAACACCGAAGGAGTTAACCCTTTCAGGGTGTCCGACGTACTAGTACGGCTTACGCACCAGGGTTATTGACGTAATAGTACACCTAAATTCTAGTCTTCAAATCTAGCGAGAGAAAGCTGGTAGGCCTACATATGAAAGAATGGGTCTATGTGGTCAGTGTGCACAGTATAAAAAAATCCTGCAGCACACTGTGCGTAATGAGAAAAAAAAACTGACCGTGTTTTTGGTTTAAAACAGCGACTTTGCACTGTACTTCCATATAGTATTTATGGTTGTATTCTAGTTTTCCTGGTCTCATTTTATAGAATGGAAGACATATTACAGAAATTGAGATGATGTTGATTGGTTTCACAATGAAAAGTACCTTGAAATTGAGCTCAAAGTAGCAGAAATGTTTGAGTTTTGCCAAAGTTCAAAAGTAAACAAATCATGCCACGCGTCCAATACACATCAACTAGCGAGTCTAATATTCTTTCACAAGTGCACTGATATTATTTATACCATTTCTACACTAATGCAGTAGTCTGCATAACAGTAAATCTTTTTTGTGAGAATAAAAATTCAAAGTGGAAAGCAAAAGAAATGTAAGAGGGTCCTGGGGACGTGACTAATGAACAGAGGAAATGTTATTTTAGTGCCAGGAATGTCTTTCTTGTTTATTCTGGACCCTATTTGGAAATCGGCATCTTTTGAAATTTGTGTGAAATTGGCAAAATTGCTAATTTCTGATCACTTTATTGGATAGCTGAAATAGGTAAATGGGCAGTTTCTTGTACTCATTCGATAGAAAAAATGGAGTTCTAGCGAAATAGTTATGATTTTCGTTGACTAGTACACTGGAATTGGCCGAAAATAGGGCTCAAAGTGGGCGAAATCGCCGATGCGTAAACATCGTCCAGACCGCTAAGTTCGCGAGACCATAATTCTGTAAGATTTCCATCAAATTTCACACTTTTGGTGTCATTATGATTAGGAAAAGTTTCTCTATCTTTTCTTAAGAAAAACGTTTTTTTTTTTTTTTTCCCAAAAAAAAATTTTCGACCCTGAGAACAAGTTTAGGAGAGGGCCTCTCGACCCTGAAAGGGTTAACCTGCACAGTGAATGTTATCCCGCTTATGTGCTTCAGTGGACAGGTTAGGGTACTGTAAGTTTTTCGTTTCTTTTTCCATGACAATTTTCACTGGGTTATTTCTTACCAGGTGGCATTCTGTCTCTGGTCCCTTTTCACTACCACAGTTTTATTACACTGCTTCAGTTACAGCAAACTTCAATAACACTTTCTTGACAATATCCATTCAAGTTCTGAAACCTATCATCCTTGTTTTTTATATTAATATAATTAATTTGGCATTGTCCAATCTCTTATTGCTAAGTCATTTATACATATACATGAACTGGATGTAATCTAGTACTTAATGTTTCAAGTACTCCACTAGTCACACACTTCCCTCTTAAAACTTCATTTTAGCTCTGTTTTATATCATTCAGGTGTTTTATAAGTCTTGTTAGTACTTTTTCCTCTTGTTCCTGTCTGCTTCTCCAGTTTGCCAAGTACACTATATGGCACTGTATAGCAGACTTGTTTACCCAGGAATATGCAGTCAAATCATTCTTTCCTACTTTGATCTTGCTCACTCATGCTATGTGAAGAATTTTGCATTTTCTGTGTACCTCTGCTACAAACACCAAACAAAGGCACACCTCTTTCCCAAAGGAAGACAGAAAAAGCTTTGTGTTCATATCCTTAAGATACAGTTTCCAACAGCAACAATTATTAAAAAGTAGCAGTAGTCTACTTCAATAAGCACGTTTGTCTCAACAAGCATGTTTGCTATTGTTGATGTCAAAAAGTTGAAGAATGAGACACTTGTGCAACATTTGGGAATCTCTATTACAGAAATGTTTTGCAAGCCAGTGGCTTCTTCAGTCCATTACAGAGAAGATGAGGAGTTTGAGGTAATCAGTCTCTCAGCTTGGAGCCAATGTTTTTAGTTCCTTGCTCACTTGTATGTACAGTAATGCACTGCATTATGTAATATGTTGAGATCACTCCAAATTTCATAAATATATCCATGATCTTCCATCTATTAGTGTCATGTACATACTGTATGTGTATTATATGTATTTTATAAATACAGTAATTAGACTGTGTGGCTATTTGAATGATAGTTTGTGTGTGGCATTAGTCTGCCATGAAGTGTGTTTTTCTTCATGAGATCCATCCACAATTCACACACTATGTAAAGTTGTGTAGTTCAACGTAAATGCTTGTTCAACCTTAATTAGGCATTCAACAATAAGTAACAGATATGCAGTTCGGTTTTTGGGTATAAATAATGTCTAGAAAGAAAACAAGTATTTAAAAGAAATACTTACAACTAACAATTTGCCTTCTTTAGTTTTGTTGATGGTAGTTACAGCTGATCCAGTATCAAGCATAATTGTGCCCTGTTTACCATTTTTCATAGTGTGACCAATGCTGCAATATAAACAAAAAAAACATTTAAATATATTCTGAAAAAAATTCAAGTTTGCTACTTTGAACAAACGAGCCCTACAATGTAAACTATACGCTATTAAAATTTGCAATGAACTGTGAGAAACTGGATGTAATATACAATCTTCCACAATTCTAGAAAAAAGGCATGTCATCCCATATTACTCGTGTAATAAACAATATCAGCACACAATAATTCGTTAAAAAAAAAAAAAAATGTCTGATCATAAGGTGGTAAAGGAAATTTACTTGAATATTAATAAGAAAAAAAATATTCAAACCTTTTCTAAGGCTAATGAGGAATGAAACTACAGGAGCACACCACAGTTTAGGCTCCCACTTTTCAGAGTCCCACTGTTTTGGCAGTTTTCAACCACATCGTCATTTATGTTCGGTGCTTTTACCGTTTTTCCACTGTTATCACAGCTTTTTGTACAACAGTTGCATAAGGGAAGGACACCCAGCACTGTATTTTAAGGCAAATATTTATTTTGTCCTGTCTAAAGGCAATGTTTGGTGTAAATATTATGCAGAAAATTCGGAGTGTGGAAATTAGGAGAAGGTGTGGAGTTAATAAAAGTATTAGTCAGAGGGCTGAAGAGGGGTTGTTGAGGTGGTTTGGTCATTTAGAGAATGGATCAAAGTAGAATGACATGGAGAGCATTTAAATCGGTAGGAGAAGGAAGATGGGGTAGGGGTCGTCCTCGAAAAGGTTGGAAGGAAGGGGTAAGGGAGGTTTTATGGCGAGGGGCTTGGACTTACAGCAGGCGTGCATGAGCGTGTTCGATAAGAGTGAATGGAGAAGAATGGTATTTGGGACCTGACGATCTGTTGGAGTGTGAGCAGGGTAATATTTAGTGAAGGGATTCACGGAAACCGGTTATTTTTATATAGTCGGACTTGAGTCCTGGAAATGGGAAGTACAATGCCTGCACTCTAAAGGAGGGGTTTCGGGATATTAGCAGTTTGGAGGGATATGTTGTGTATCTTTATACGTATATGCTTCTAAACTGTTATGTTCTGAGCACCTCTGCAAAAACAGTGATTATGTGTGAGTGAGGTGAAAGTGTTGAATAATGATGAAAGTATTTTCTTTTTGGGGATTTTCTTTTTTTGGGTCACCCTGCCTCAGTGGCAGATGGCCGACTTGAGAGAAAAAAATAAATTGTGTCTTTTTATTTTTATGCCTAGCTGTATTGAGCACCTAATATATACCAGTATTAACATATCAGGCGTTTTAGATACATTTTATAAAAAAAAAAAAAAAAAAAAAAAAACCAGCTCCCCCCCCCCCCGGCCGGTGATTTTTTTTTTGTTTGGGGCCGCCAACCTTCAAGCCATAAGAACAGTGCCCTTCTGTACTGTATATGCCAGCATACAAGTCAACTAAAATTTTGAGGTTTTTATCCAGGTTGAAGCCTATATTTTCATGATAGGCCAATCCTTTTCCCCCCCCCAACCCCAAAAATAAAAGAATATCAAACTGTCAAGTTCAGAGGGTCTGAGCAAACTGACATGGCCCATTAGGTGAATATTTAGAGTGCATATTTTCTCCAGCTCTTTTCTATTTTTTTTTTTTTTTTGGGTGGGTGGGGGGTGGGGGGGGGTATTATTTCTAGCAATGTGTGACCTTTTAGTAAAACATGCATCTGAGAAACAAAAAATAAAATAGGTAAGAAGTAGGATACAAAACTTTTAACTGTGGTAAAAGTTATGGTACTAGCATGATAGCATCAGTAGGCTAGTAGTCTCTCTCCTCCTTCGGTAATGTGCCATGGCCTTATTTTCACCTCTACCATACATCAGCAACTTTTATACTTGGCATAAAAAAAAGGTGACTTTTATACCGGCATATACAGTTATTTAAAAAATGGTGAGCAAATGTATCCTCGTAAAAATATCCTAATATTGTAGTGTCTCATCTACATGCAGGAATGAAACTACCCAGAGATAAATTCAAGTAGATACAGTATATTTATATTTAACAAATCCAAATTTGAAACTTTTGAAAGAAATGATAATGGATCCTGAAGGAAATACAACACGAACCTTTTTTTTTTTTTTTTTTTTTTTTTTTTTTAACAATCGGCCATCTCCCACCAAGGCAGGGTGACCCAAAAAGAAAGAAAATCCCCAAAAAAGAAAAAATACTTTCATCATCATTCAACACTTTCACCTCGCTCATACATAATCAATGTCTTTCCAGAGGTGCTCAGATACGACAATTTAGAAGCGCACATAGAGATATACAATATACCCCTCCAAACTGCCAATATCACAAACCCCTCCTTTAAAGTGCGGGCATTGTACTTCCCATTTCCAGGGCTCAAGTCCAACTAACCACTTTTCCCAAATCCCTTCACAAAATATTACTCTGCTCACACTTCAACAGCTCGTCAGGTCCCAAAAACCATGCGTCTCCACTCAGTCTTCACACACTCGTGCACGTTTGCTGGAAGTCCAAGTCCCTCGCCCACAAAACAACCTCCCTCCAACCTTTTCAAGGAAGACTCCTACCCCGCGTTCCTTCCCCTACAGATTTATACGCTCTCCAAGTCATTCTACTTTGATCCATTCTCTAAATGACCAAACCACCTCAACCCCTTTTTCAGCCATCTGATTAATACTTTTAGTAACTCCACACCTACTAATTTCCACACTCCGAATTCTCTGCATAATATTTACACCACCACTGCCCTTAGACAGGACATCTCCACTGCCTCCAGCCACCTCCTTGCTCAGCACTTGCAACCCAAGCTTCACACCCATACAAGAGTGTTGGTACCTCTATACTTTCATACATTCCCTTCTTTGCCTCCATGGATAAGGTTTTTGGTCTCCACAGATACCTCAATGTACCACTCACCTTTTTTCCCTTCATCAATTCTACGGTTAACCTCATCCATTATATACCCATCTGCTAACAAGTCAACTCCCAAATATCTGAAAACATTCACTTCTTCCATACTCCCTCTCTCAAATGTGATATCCAATTTTCCTTTATCTAAATCATTTGATACCCTCATCAACTTACTCTTATCTATTTTCACTTTCAACTTTTTACCTTTACACACCCTTTCTGGCTAACTACATCAATAGGCATAAAGGAGTACTAAACAGTAATTTAATTTCTTATGAAAGAGTTTTACCATTTTAAGCAAAGTGGTTATATAAATGGAAACAACTACCTCCTTGTATAGATATATAAAAAAAAAAATGCATGAAAAGTTTAAAGGCTGCCTCAGCAAACACACGCACACAGGAAACTTGGCAGAAAAATGCAACAAAGGAAATATTGTACAGGAAAAGTGGCAAAACAGTAATCAATGAAAAGACTAAGATTGAAAAAGTTCGGCACGACATTAAATGGTACTCTCAAAATAATTATAAATTTCTAATAAATCTCAATAGTTGAGGGGAAAAAACTGTATAACCTACTTTTATTTTAAAAGATTCTCAAATGTAAAAGAAATTATAATACAGTGGAACCTCAGTTTTTGTACAATTCGGTTTTCGATGACTTTCATGAAAATTTTGTCCCAGTTTTTGTACACCCACTTGGTTGTCGTACAGTTGAAAATGGTCCACACCAAACTCGTCCGCCTGCCTGCATGACTTGGCCACTCATTTCCTGGTATCGAGTGCCCACACAAAGCATCCCACGTGTTCATGATTTTGAAGGGTTTGAGGCTGACCATGACGACCCTATGCCTCTTGTGGAATTTATTGTATCTTTGGGGAAGTCCACTGGGCTGGACGAGTGCGCCCAGGATGTGGAAAAGTTGGTGGACAACCACAGGGAAGAGCTAACCATTGAAGAGCTGCAAACCCTTCAACTGGAACAACAACAGACTGCAGCTGAGGAAACTGCTTCAGAGGAGGAAGAGGGGAGAACGTGCCTTCTTCAGTGATTAAGGACATACGTGCAAAGTGGAATGAGTTGCAAAGTTTTATGGAGAAACATCACCCTAACAAAGCTGTTGCACGCCATGTCTGCAACATGTTCAATGGCAATGCCTTGTCCCATTTTAGGCAAATCTTGAAGACACCAGAAACAGACCTCTCTGGACAGATTTTTTGTGCAACAGGAGTCCAGTCACTCAAGCTGGTCCTAGTGCCAGTAAAAGACAAAGAAGGGAAGTAACCCCGGATAGGGCCTCGATACCTGAACTCCTTATGGACGAGGATTCCCCTTCCAAACCTCTACTCCCTCTCCCCTCCGTCTTCCATAAGCCAACAAGAGTCTTCAATAAAGGTAAAATATGAAATGGATAAATGAACATTTAACTAGTCATTTATATTTCTCATTGTTTTATGTAAAACTATATTCTCTATAAAATGTATTTTTGTTAATATTTTTGGGTGTCTGGAATGGATTAATTGGATTTACATTATTTCTTATGGGAAATACTGCTTCAGTTCTCGTACGATTTGGTTTTTGTCAGACTTTTTTGAATGGATTAATCACAAAAACCGAGGTTCCACTGTACTATATACTGTACAATTTTTCACCTAAGAAATATTAAAAAACTTGCTTTACCTCTCAGATTCAGCAACTTTCAGAACTTCAGGGCTGTCACTGACTGTTATGATCTTGGTGACAGCTTCTATTACATTGGGCAAACTGACGATTAAATCCCCCTGCAAAATAATATTTAAAATTACCTTGCAATTACCATAGAAGTACTTTCATGATACAGTACAACAATTCTAAAAAAAATGCTGTAACACTGAAAACTAAAAATTTTTATAAAATAATCATGTTTTTCACTTTGTAAATATCATTAACTTTCAGGTTTAAAGAATTTATTATATCACAATGACAATATTGAAGGACAAAATTGTTTATAAGTGCTTTGTGTGCAACCAACACCTTATGACATGCTCAGATGTGCACTACATACTTTAATATGCATTTAGAAAGCAACATAATACCATATTAAATAATCCTGTTGTAATGTCTTTGGTAATGATCATCTTACAAGTAATTAATTTCTATATTGAAATACAATATGTTAGCCACTTGTAATAGAAACATTATTTGAATATAAATTAATATCACATTAATTGTTTGAGAAATCCCTCATATGAAAGATGTGGCACACTACAAATGTAAAAACAGAAAAAAACACGTGTAAAGAAACTTAATTTTTAATTAGAAAGGCTTTATATTACTATTTATTGCATTAACACTTGAACAAACCTTACCAAAACTTTAAAAGATGTCTCGTTAAATGAATCTTATGCAGATCTTGGACCATTCTTCCTAGAATGATGCTTATTAGTGCACATCGGTCTATACCATCACCATGCTAATTATCTCAAATATTTTGTATTTTGAATACCCTGCCCAATACTCTACATGCAAGTTTCCTTACAGAAGGATAAGTATCAAAAAAATTTAATGTTCACTAGAATTTATCACATTTTACAGTAGGAATGGAACTACCATTACAAGTAAAAGTGCATAAAGTCAAACAACACTGAATAAGTGTAAAGAACTGTGCATAGAGTGCATATAACTGTCATGCATCAAGAAATATTTATGAAAAGTTTGTGCTAAAATGTGCTCAATCACCACAATTTCTGCAGTGCTAGGTACATTATGAAATTTTTAAAAATCTGTTCATAATTAGTGTTAAATGAATACCAGTTCAAGATACTGAACTGTAACTCAAAATACTGCCCTTGTTTATGAATGGATCAGTTACCATATGTATAATTAAAAAACAAAAATGGCTAACACGAGAGCTATGAATGAATGGATTTATACATGGCTTAATTCTTATCTATACCAATTTTATTACAAAGGCAGAACCTTCCCGGGTCAAATGAAGTATAATTGCTTAAACTTACATACAGTATATGCATAATCTAAGGAAATTTCAGAATGGTAGAACCGTCCTGTATCTGTTTACCTGGAGAGAGTTCCGGGGGTCAACGCCCCCGCAGCCCGGTCTGTGACCAGTGTGTGTGTGTCTGTGGATTTGGTTTCTGCAGTTTGTTTTCCAAGATTTACCAGTGACCAAAAATAACCCTTAATTTTGCTTAATGACTCCAAAGTGCAAAAGTAGTAATGCTGGCAGTCCTTCAAAGCCTAAGAGAAATGCTTCCTGTAAGTGAAAAAGTGCTAATTCTCGACTTATTGTGTGTAATTTATCACACTATCATATGTGTGTGTGTGTGTGTGTGTGTGTGTGTGTGTGTGTGTGTGTGTGTGTGTACTCACCTAGTTGTACTCTCACCTAGTTGAGGTTGCAGGGGTCGAGTCCAAGCTCCTGGCCCCGCCTCTTCACTGGTCGCTACTAGGTCACTTCCTGAACCTTGAGTTTTATCATACCTCTGCTTAAAGCTATGTATGGATCCCACCTCCACTACATAGCTTCCCAAACTATTCCACTTCCTGACTACTCTGACCAAAGAAATACAGTGGACCCCCGCATAACGATTTTAATCCGTACAAGAGGAGTAATTGTTATGCGAAATAATCGGTATGTGAATGAATTTTCCCCATAAGAAATAATGGAAATAAAATTAATCCGTGCAAGACACCCAAAAGTATGAAAAAAAAAAAATTTTTACCACATGAAATGTTAATTTTAATACACACAAACTGAAAAAGGCATGCACACTTACATGACACTTACTTTTATTGAAGATCTGGTGATGATTGATGGGATGGGAGGAGGGGAGAGAGAGTGTTAGTGTTTAGAAGGGGAATCCCCTTCCATTAAGACTTGAGGTGGCAAGTCCTTTTCTGGGGTTACTTCCCTTCTTCTTTTAATGCCACTAGGACCAGCTTCAGAGTCACTGGACTTCTTTCGCACAACATATCTGTCCATAGTGGCCTGTACCTCTCGTTCCTTTATGACTTCCCTAAAGTGTTTCACAACATTGTCAGTGTAATAATCACCAGCACGGCTTGCAATAGCTGTGTGAGGGTGATTTTCATCCATGAAGGTTTGCACTTCAAGCCACTTTGCACAGATTTCCTTAATCTTTGTAGTAGGCAACTTCTTCAATTTCTCTCTCCCCTCCTCTGAACCAGTTTCCTCAGGTCTGGCCTCTTGCTGTTGAAGTTGATCTATCAGCTCATCAGTGGTTAGTTCTTCATTGTCCCTCCTCCAACTCTTCCACATCCTCCCCACTAACCTCCAACCCCAAGGACTTTCCCAATGCCACAATGGATTCCTCAACTGGCACAGGATTCTCAGGGTTAGCCTCAAACCCTTCAAAATCCCTTTTGTCTACACATTCTGGCCACAGTTTCTTCCAAGCAGAGTTCAAGGTCTTCTTAGTCACTCCCTCCCAAGCCTTACCTATAAGGTTTACACAATTGAGGATATTAAAGTGCTCTCTCCAAAACTCTCTTAGAGTCAGTTGAGTTTCTGAGGTCACTACAAAGCACCTTTCAAACAGAGCTTTTGTGTACAGTTTTTTGAAGTTTGCAATAACCTGCTGGTCCATGGGCTGCAGGAGAGGAGTGGTATTAGGAGGCAAAAACTTCACCTTAATGAAGCTCATGTCCCCATAAAGTCGCTCTGCCACGTCTGTAGGATGACCAGGGGCATTGTCTAACACCAGGAGGCACTTAAGTTCTAATTTCTTTTCAGTTAGGTAATCTTTCACATTGGGGGCAAATGCATGGTGTAACCAGTTATAGAAAAAGTCCCTAGTGACCCATGCCTTACTGTTTGCCCTCCACAGCACACACAAATTATCCTTGAGGACATTCTTTTGCCTGAACGCTCTGGGAGTTTCAGAGTGATACACTAATAAAGGCTTAACTTTGCAATCACCACTAGCATTGGCACACATCAACAAAGTAAGCCTGTCTTTCATAGGCTTATGTCCTGGGAGTGCCTTTTCCTCCTGAGTAATGTAGGTCCTGCTTGGCATTTTCTTCCAGAACAGGCCTGTTTCATCACAATTAAACACTTGTTCAGGTTTCAGTCCTTTACTGTCTATGTACTCCTTGAATTCCTGCACATATTTTTCAGCCGCTTTGTGGTCCGAACTGGCAGCCTCACCATGCCTTATCACACTATGGATGCCACTACGCTTCTTAAATCTCTCAAACCAACCTTTGCTGGCCTTAAATTCACTCACTATCACTAGTTGCAGGCATTTTTTTAATTAAATCCTCATGCAACTTCCTAGCCTTTTCACATATGATCGCTTGAGAGACTATCTCCTGCTAGCTGTTTTTCATTTATCCACACCAATAAGAGTCTCTCAACATCTTCCATCACTTGCGATCTTTGTTTCGAAAACACAGTTAAACCTTTGGCAAAAACAGCTTCCTTGATTGTCTTTCTGGTGCCCACAATAGTAGCGATGGTTGATTGGGGTTTCTTGTACAACTTGACTAGGTCGGCGATACGCACTCCACTTTCATACTTATCAATGATCTCTTTCTTCATTTCTATTGGAATTCTCACCCTTATTGGTGTACGGTTGGCACTAGAAGCTTTCTTGGGGCACATGGTCACTTATTTTCCAGAAACAGCACCGAAAACACTGTAATAATACGAAATATTCTGAGTGTATGCTTGGATGTTACCGCGGAGGCTGGCTGGTAAACAATGGCACGAGCGGCACATGTGAGGCTGGCTGAGGGCGCACATTGGACGCTTCTCGGACGAAAATCGGTGAGCAGGTTTTTAATCGGTATGCGCAGCAAAATTTTTGCGATTAAAGCAAGCGGTATGCGGATTAATCGCTATGTGATGCCATCGTTATGCGAGGGGGTCCACTGTACTTCCTAACATCCCTGTGATTCATCTGTGTCTTCAACTTCCAACTGTGTCCCCTTGTTGCTGTGTCCCATCTCTGGAACATTCTTTGTCCACCTTGTGAATTCCTCTCAGTATTTTGTATGTCGTTATGTCCCCCCCTATCTCTCCTGTCCTCCAGTGTCGTCAGGTCGATTTCCCTGTGTGTGTGTGTGTGTGTGTGTGTGTGTGTGTGTGTGTGTGTGTGTGTGTGTGTGTGCACGTGTGCGCGTGTGTGTATGTGTGTGTGTGTGTGTGTCTGTGTCTACTCATCTAATTGTGGTTGCAGGGGTCGAGACTCAGCTCCTGTGTGTGTGTGTGTGTGTGTGTGTGTGTGTGTGTGTGTGTGTGTGTGTGTGTGTGTGTGTGTATGTGTGTGTGTATGTGTGTGTGTATTGTGTGTGTGTATGTGTGTGTATGTGTGGTGTATGTGTGTGTGTATGTGTGTGTGTCTGTGTGTGTGTCTGTGTGTGGTGTCTGTGTGTGTGTTCTGTGTGTGTGTGTCTGTGTGTGTGTGTCTGTGTGTGTGTGTCTGTGTGTGTGTGTCTGTGTGTGTTGTGTCTGTGTGTGTGTGGTCTGTGTGTGTCTGTGTGTGTGTGTCTGTGTGTGTCTGTGTGTGTCTGTGTGTGTGTCTGTGTGTGTGTGTCTGTGTGTGTGTGTCTGTGTGTGTGTGTCTGTGTGTGTGTGTCTGTGTGTGTGTGTCTGTGTGTGTGTGTCTGTGTGTGTGTGTCTGTGTGTGTGTGTCTGTGTGTGTGTGTATGTGTGTGTGTATGTGTGTGTGTGTGTCTGTGTGTGTGTGTCTGTGTGTGTGTGTCTGTGTGTGTGTGTCTGTCTGTGTGTGTCTGTCTGTGTGTGTGTGTCTGTGTGTGTGTGTCTGTGTCTGTGTGTGTGTGTGTGTGTGTGTGTGCTGTGTCTGTGTGCATGTCTGTGTGTGTGTCTGTGTGCATGTCTGTGTGTGTGTCTGTGTGCATGTCTGTGTGTGTGTCTGTGCATGTCTGTGTGTCTGTGTGTGTCTGTGTGCGTGTGTCTGTGTGCGTGTGTGCGTGTGTGTGTGTGTGTGTGTCTGTGTGCCTGTGTGCGTGTCTGTGCGTGTCTGTGTGCATCTGTGTGTGCGCGCGCGCATGTGTGTGTGTGTCTGTGTAAATTAAAAACGACGTATATAGGGTTCACTACTATCCGCAGTTTCAGGTATTCACAATGGGTCTTGGAACGTATCCCTTGCGGATAGCGGGGGATTACTGCAGGTAGCTTGACTTCATTAAAATACACCATGCTTAACATTGTTAACTTGTCTTATTTTTTATTAGCAAAATAAGTTTAGTAAATAAAAGTTGTTTTATTGATTACATATGGTCTTTATAATTTCTTACCAAATATTTGGTTTGTTTTTCTTGTGATATATGGTATTTGCCTTTTAGTCAAGCTAATTCAAAATTCAAATTTTTTTTTCAAAATCTGACAATCCATAACATTGTAACTAGTTTCTCCAGAAGTGGTTCATGCACACTTTGCAGCATTACTTTTGAGTATACATTCCAGAAATATCTTTCAAAAGCAGTTAATTCACCACTATTTTAAGATATATGTGCAATTAACACTTGTGTACACAATGAAATTTTGACTAATGGTTCTTACCTTGGGGTTAGGGTCACAAGCACCTGCACTCTACAGCATGCAATAAAAGTGTGAAGCATATTTAGTAAAATAGTGATGAAAGGACACATTCATCACAAGAATGGCAATAAGATATTACACAATATTAAGCTGCAACAAGATTGCAAGTCATCATTCAGGGTCTCCAGCCAACTGATAACTACAATAAAGCCAATACACACAACCTATAAGCTCTCTAATTTTTCAAACAACTATAGTACCAATCAACATGAAGACATTAATATCAATCTGTTCCCAATTTTTGTACCATTCCTTAACATTTAGTTCCAGATAATTACTTTTTTAGACAGGCTATGAATCTTTTCCCCAATAGGTAAGAGCCCAGTGTGACCATTATTTCATTTATGGGAGGGGAGTGCTTAAACTGTAGGGGTTGTACCCTGCTAGTCTGAGCAGTTTAAAAATCTACTGTAAGAATTAGAAGACAGTAGTGAACTGCTATACACTGCATTCATCCTAAGAATATTTCAAATTGAGAACTGCTCAATATTTCTATTGTAAATGTGCAATTACTATACAGAAAAAGACTTTTTAAATGTTTAATAACTTAAACATTGCCAATGAGGAGGCCATAATAAATAGGTTTGGTTCCCTTGCTTCTCTCCCTGTTGTCAAAGTCAGAGCATTACAACATTGGTAGTATCATAACTGCAAGGAAAATGATAGCCCAGATAACTCAAATCTTCAAAACAAGGGATACCAAGTAATTCTAATACTCTTCAAGTTACTACTTGTTTTCTCTAAACAAATACTGCTATACACAAACCACCTCCCTTCTTAAGGAAGGCGAAATAGCAGATTTGGACAGTGTGTAGACAATATTCACTCCCTATTAATATACAGTCAAATGATTAGATTATTGGGAATACATTAAGTACCTTAAACTGAATTATGTGAAATAATGAGAAAGAGGCATCAAAATTTATATTTCAAAATTCTAGAGGGATTAGTTCCAAATCTGAACACTAAAATCACTCCTTAAAAATTAAAAAGGCTAGCCAGGCTGCTAAATACCCCATTGAAAAGAGGTGTAGTAAGAAAACTGAAAATTCAACAAGGGTAAAGGGGCTAAGACTTTTCAATACCCTTCATACATAAACATTAAAAACAGACCACTGGCCATCTTCAAGAGGGTACCTTACGAGCCAGTTCCTGGTCAGCCAGGCACCACAGCCTGGCTGATCAGGAAATACACAAGGCCAATACCATCAGCCTGATTGATCAGGCTATTAACCAGGAGGCCTCCTCTGCGACTGGGCTGTGGGGACAGTGACCAACAAAATTATGTGTAGGTAATCCATAAGAACCTCTAAGTAAATAGTAAAGAATCATATATGCAGATAATTTTTACCAATGCAAAGGTGTAGCAACTTTCTAATATGTGGTTACTCGGGTACATCAGTAACTGAAAACCAATTTATGACAGAAGCCCAGAAAAGGCAACAGAATGCTATGTAGGAGTTAAAGAACCCTAGATATTGGAAAGAAAAGGACCCACAGTCCTCCCAAATTGTACGAAACCATAATAAAGGCACATGCACACTTATCCAGTGATACAACTGCTATAAGAGCCTAAACAAAACATCATTCAAGATGTACACCAGAAATGTCACGACAATATCTTAGCGTTAATATTTACCAGATTAGAGTGAAACTTAAAAAGATATGGCCTCTGAAACACAAATGAGCAAAAATCTGAAAGATGTATTATCCAAACAGAATTCAGTGGTACCCTATTTGCAAAATTTCATTATTAATAAAGTAATTACATTATTACCAGTATCAAGTTAACGGAGAGGTAATATATTTGCAAAACTGTAAAAACATTTAAAATCTAATATTTATGAAGCAGTACTAATGAGCAAGTTTAGTTGAATACATCCGTCATACCTTATCTCTCTTAGCATTCTCCACAGGAATCTGTATTAGAAGAAGATTGTCCGTGTTGGGGGACACATGGAGGCCTTGTACTTCCTTCAAAGAAAATCGATGTTTATGCTTTAACTTGTTCTCCTTAGCCTCTAGCAAGTACAGAGCTCCTGATGTAAGAATCATGATGCGTTCCCGAGGCTTGTACCCGTGACGATCATACTTTGTACACGGTGTACAGTACTAATGTGTCAGAAAAAAAAAAATTATTGATAGCAAAATATACTATATGTATGACAAAGTAAATATAGTACTGGTATTATAAAACAAATTGCAGGAGTAATGTAAATATTACATAACTGGTTTTGTATGTCTTATCTTTTCAAACTGCCCTTCCTCAAAAGTGATCTAGTTGCATCCATTTCAGGTGACATGAGTAAAATATGTTATTGGCAAACAAAAGAATTAAAAAATGCTTAAAATGAATCTAAAGTAGATAAACGGTATACAATATCGACATGATGGAAAGACAAATGCAGTATAATTCAGGCCTTTATTGTCAATGTTTTGCCAATGCAGTGGACTTTATCAATTTGCAAACAGAGCTGTTTTTGACTTGATAAAGCCTACCGAGCAGGTGAAACGTCAATACAGGATCCCATTATACTGTACTTCTGTCTATCTTTCCATGAATCTTAAGTAACATACGAGTGAATTAGAACATTTTAAACAATCTTTGGTATTTAAACAAATCGTGATGATTACAAAAATGTACTATACTATGTAATAATGACTTGAAATTTTCATTTCACTATATAGAATAATAATAATAGTAATAATAATAATATCCGAGTGCCTCTGCAAAGACAGTGATTGTGTGAGAATGATGGTTAAAGTGTTTCTTTTCTGGGTCACCCTGCCTTGGTGAGAGACAGCTGAAGTGTTGGAAAAAATTAATACATAGATATGAGCAAGGTGACAAGATTTAGGTAAAGAAAAACTGGATATCACATTGGAGAGAAGGAGTATGGAAGAAGTGAATGTTTTCATATATTTAGGAGCTGATGTGTCAGCAAATAGGTTTATGAAGGATGAGGTTAACCAAAGAATTGACGAGGGAAAAAACGCGTGGTGCGTTGAAGTATATGTGGAGACAAAAAAACGTTATCAGTGGAGGCAAAGAAGGAAATGTATGAAAGTACAGTGGTACCAACATACTTATATGGGTGTGAAGCTTGGGTTGTAAATGCTGAGGCTAAGAGGCAGTTGGAGGCAGTGGAAGATGTCCTAAGGGCAATGTGTGGTGTAAATATTATGCCAAGAATTCGAAATGTGGAAATTAGGAGGTGTGGAGTTAATAAAAGTATTAGTCAGAGGGCTGAAGAGGGGTTGAGGTGGTCTGGTCGTAAAGTAGAATGACAGAGCACATAAATCTGCAAGGGGAAGGAAGGCGGGATAGGGGTCGTCCTCGAAAAGGTTGGAGGGAGGGGGTAAAGGAGGTTTTGTGGGCTAGGGGCTTGAACTTCCAGCAAGCGTGCATGAGCGTGTTAGATAGGAGTGAATGGAGACGAATGGTTTTTGGGACCTGACGAACTGTTGGAGTGTGAGCAGGGTAATATTTAGTGAAGGGATTTAGAGAAACTGGTTATTTTTATATAGCCGGACTTGAGTTCTGGAAATGGGAAGTACAATGCCTGCACTTTAAAGGAGGGGTTTGAGATATTGGCAGTTTGGAGGGATGTGTAACAGGGGGGGATAAAGTGTTGGAGTGGTTGGTACTTTTGTTTAATAAATGTATGAAAGAGGGGAAGGTACCTAGGGATTGGCAGAGAGCATGTATAGTCCATTTATATAAAGGGAAGGGGGGACAAAAGAGATTGTAAAAATTATAGAGGAATAAGTTTACTGAGTATACCAGGAAAAGTGTACAGTAGGGTTATTATTGAAAGAATTAGAGGCAAGACAGAATGTAGGATTGCGGATGAGCAAGGAGGTTTCAGAGTGGGTAGGAGATGTGTAGATCAAGTGTTTACATTGAAGCATATATGTGATCAGTATTTAGATAAAGGTAGGGAAGTTTTTATTGCATTTATGGATTTAGAAAAGGCATATGATAGAATGGATAGGGGAGCAATGTGGCAGATGTTGCAAGTATATGGAATAGGTGGTTTAAGTTACTAAATGCTGTAGAGTTTTTATGAGGATAGTGAGGTTCAGGTTAGGGTATGTAGAAGAGAAGGAGACTACTTCCCAGTAAAAGTAGGTCTTAGACAGGGATGTGTAATGTCACCATGGTTATTTAATATATTTATAGATGGGGTTGTAAGAGAAGTAAATGCTAGGGTGTTTGGGAGAGGGGTGGGATTAAATTATGGGGAATCAAATACAAAATGGGAATCGACACAGTTACTTTTTGCTGATGATACTGTGCTTATGGGAGATTCTAAAGAAAAATTGCAAAGGTTAGTGGATGAGTTTGGGAGTGTGTAAAGGTAGAAAGTATTAGTCAGAAGGCTGAAGAGGGGTTGTTGAGGTGGTTTGGTCATTGAGAGAATGGATCAAAGTAGAATGACATGGAGAGCATTTAAATCTGTAGGAGAAGGAAGGCGGGGTAGGGGGTCGTCCTCGAAAAGGTTGGAAGGAAGGGGTAAAGGAGGTTTTGTGGGCGTGGGGCTTGGACTTCCAGCAGGCATGCATGAGCGTGTTCGATAGGAGTGAATGGAGACAAATGGTATTTGGGACCTGACGATCTGTTGGAGTGTGAGCAGGGTAATATTTAGTGAAGGGATTCAGGGAAACCGGTTATTTTTATATAGCCGGACTCGAGTCCTGGAAATGGGAAGTACAGTGCCTGCACTCTAAAGGAGGGGTTTCGGGATATTAGCAGTTTGGAGGGATATGTTGTGTATCTTTATACGTATATGTTTCTAAACTGTTGTGTTCTGAGCACCTCTGCAAAAACAGTGATTATGTGTGAGTGAGGTGAAAGTGTTGAATGATGAAAGTATTTTCTTTTTGGGGATTTTCTTTCTTTTTGAGTCACCCTGCCTTGGTGGGAGACGGCCGACTTCTTTGTGTGTGAGAGTGAGAGAGAGAGAGAGAGTGAGAGAGTGAGAGAGTGAGAGAGTGAGAGAGTGAGAGAGTGAGAGAGTGAGAGAGTGAGAGAGTGAGAGAGTGAGAGAGTGAGAGAGTGAGAGAGTGAGAGTGAGAGAGTGAGAGAGTGAGAGAGAGTGAGAGAGTGAGAGAGTGAGAGAGTGAGAGAGAGAGAGTGAGAGAGTGAGAGAGAGAAAGGGGAGAGTGAGAGAGTGAGAGAGTGAGAGAGTGAGAGAGTGAGAGAGTGAGAGAGTGAGAGAGTGAGAGAGTGAGAGAGTGAGAGAGTGAGAGAGTGAGAGAGTGAGAGAGAGAGAGAGAGAGTGAGAGAGTGAGAGAGAGAGAGAGTGAGAGAGAGAGAGTGAGAGAGTGAGAGAGTGAGAGAGTGAGAAATCTTTATGTAACATTCTAAGCTGTTGTATCTGGGTGCCTCTGCAAAAACAGTGATTATGTATGAGCGAGGTGAAAGTGTTGAATGATTAAAGTATTTTCGTTTTGGGGATTTTCTTTTTGGGTCACCCTGCCTAGGTGGGAGATGGCCGACTTGTTGAAGAAAAAAAAAATAATAGTAATGATGATGATAATGAATGGTGACCCAAAGAAAACACGTTCATCATTTATTCCACTGCCATCTTTCCATAAGTGTGCCGACATCATAATCAGATTACCCTCCAACTGCAACATCCCCACCTTTCCTGCAGAGTGCAGGTACTGTCCTACTCACCTCCATGACTCAATTCTGGCTGACCTGTTTTCCTGAATCCCAGCCAACAGTACGAAGCCATGAAAACCACCTTTCTCCATGCCAATCTAACAATCTCACACAAGCCTGCTTGATACTGAAACTGAGCACTAATCTTTCATCACCTTGCTCCAAACCTTCCTGGGACATCCCATACTCCTTCCTTCTACCCCAATTTGTACACCTTCTTAGTCATCCTACTCCGATCCATTGTCTCCAAATGTCCACACCACTTAAACAATACCTCAGCCCTCTTAATTATACTATCCACACAGGTAAGGAGAGCAAAATGATCTACCAAGAACATTTAAATTTCACTAAATAAAAATATATATTTACCTTTGTTTTCTCTCCTGCTGTCTTAATTGTATCCTCAAAGGAAGTCTTCCTCAAGGCTTCATAAGCTTCATCCAGTCTTGATGTTAGGAACCATTTTGGCAAACTATCAGGGTAGCTGGCCTTCTTTCCTAATAATGGGATAAAGGGTTATAATGAAAAACATATCTTCATGCATTGTTATAATGATAATATTCATTTGTGGAAATGTTGCAATCACAGTTATATGAATTGTGATCTTAGCAAACTTTTGGCAAGACACTGGTGGAAAGAATGATGGTGAATGCATCTTTTTTTTTTTGGGTCACCTTGCCTTGCTGGGAGACTGTCACTGTTAAAAAAAAAAAAAAAGGGGGGGGGGGTGAATTGCTAAACCCATAAGGAATCTTTCAGCACCTAGCAAATAGGAGGTAATCAGGTCTGATCAGAGAAAGAGGGTTACCATATCAATTAACTATTTCAAAAGTCCTTCAACAGTACCAAGATATCTCCCCAGAAAAGTATCTTCATGCAACCAATTCTCAAAGTTTTTCATGCAAGTGCATCAGATTCTGCATGATCTAAACAGACCAAGTAAAAATTATTTTAGGGGAGGTTATCTTATCTAAGCCTAACCTAACCTATACCATATATAGACAACTGCCAAAAATAAAATTACTTAATGGGTGGTTTACATATGGCAATGTAGTAAACACTGTCATCTGTCTTTTCAATGACTGGTCTAAAGGCAATTGATTTGCGATTGCTTGTGCCGAGTTCCTCTGTAATTTCTAAATTAACAAAATACAGTATCCCAAGGTAATAAATACCTTAAAGTAAAATCAATACATTACAATAATGAGGCAGAATTAGATTTAATAAATGTGAGAATGAATACTTTTAACTGATGCCAAAGTCAAATAATCTCACCTTTGAAAAGTTGCTCGGCCAACACCTTCTCCTCAAACATGGCTCTCTTCTCGGGTTGCAGAGCTTTCACATACTTTCGAGCGAGGTAAGTACGGTGCATGCTCTTAAAAAAAAAATTATTCATTAAAAATAGCAAGATATTTATTGTGCCTACTTTCAAAAATCTCTACCTAGTCATCAACAGTCTCTCTACATTATACTTAACTTCGTTTGCATTAAGCAGCTCTAATGTTAAATCTTGCATACAGTATGCAGTTGTTAACCCCCTTGAAAGTGCAGGTCGGTGCCATAGTTCTACGAGATGAGCTCTCTCAAATAAGGCGAGTGGTAAATTTGGGCCTAGATATGGGGAAATGGGTCTAATGCAGTAAATGTGCACCATATAAAAAATTATACAGTACAGTGCATGAGAAAAAGTGGTGACCATGCTTTTTATTTAAAACTAATTGTGGTGTATTTTCATATGGTATGTATGGTTGCATTCTCATTTTTTTGGTCTCAAAGCAAGTGTAATACAAGAGGGGATAGGAGGCATGACTAATGAACAGGGAAAATGTTAATTTAGTACCAGGAATGTCTGCACTTTGTTCTGGACCCAATTTTGAAATTGGCATCTCTTGAAATTGTGTGAAATTACTGCAGTTTCTTGTACTAAACCAACAGTAGAAAGAATACTGGCAAAATAGCTACAAGTTTGGTAGACGAACAATGGAATGGGCCAAAATTAGGGCCCAAGTGGGTGAAATCGCTGATGCGTAAATAACGCCATTGTGTTCAGCGTATTCTAACCTAACCATTCTATAATCCAGCAAAATCGCTAATCCGGTATCCTTCAAGTTTCAATGTTGCCGGATTAGTGATGGTCAACCTGTATTACATAAACAGATGATTTTTATTGGTTTCAGGACTGAAAATAGCTGGATATCGAGCAAGGGGCTTGGACTTCCAGCAGGCATGCGTGAGCGTGTTTGATAGGAGTGAATGGAGACAAATGGTTTTTAATACTTGACGTGCTGTTGGAGTGTGAGCAAAGTAACATTTATGAAGGGGTTCAGGGAAACCGGCAGGCCGGACTTGAGTCCTGGAGATGGGAAGTACAGTGTCTGCACTCTGAAGGAGGGGTGTTAATGTTGCAGTTTAAAAACTGTAGTGTAAAGCACCCTTCTGGCAAGACAAGTGATGGAGTGAATGATGGTGAAAGTTTTTCTTTTTCGGGCCACCCTGCCTTGGTGGGAATCGGCCAGTGATAAAAAAAAAAAAAAAAAAAAAAAAAAAAAAAAAAAAAAAAAAACACTAAAGAATCTTAAGAGGAAATGTTATCAATGGAGGCAAAAAAGGGGAATGTGTAAGAGTATAGTGGTACCAATACTTATATGGGTGTGAAGCATGGGTTGTGAATGTTGCAGCAAGGAGGAGGCTGGAGGCAGTAGAGATGTCATGTCTGAGGACAATGTGTAGTGTAAATAATATGCAGAGAATTCATAGCTTGGAGATGAGGAGATGCAGAGTTACTAAAAGTATTACCCTGAGAGCTGAAGAAGGGGTTGTTGAGGTGGTCTGGATATTTAAAAAGGATGGAGCAAAATAGAAAGACTAAGGTGTATAAATCTGTAGTGGAAGGAAGGTGGGCTAGAGGTTGCCCTAAGAAAGGATACAGGGAGGAGATAAAGGAGGTTGTGTGTGCAAGGGGCTTGGACATCTGGCAGGCATGTGTGAGCATTTTAGATAGGAGTGGAGGCAAATAGATTTTGGGACATGATGAGCTGTTGGAGTGTGAGAAAGGTAACAATTTATGAAGAGATTCAGGGAAACTGGTCAGCTGGACTTGAGTCCTGGAGGCGGGAAGTACAGTGCCTACACTTTGAAGGAGGAATGGGGATATTTGCAGTTTGGAGGGGCATCTGAACTGTAGTATGTATGCACCTCTGTTAAGACAGTGAATGATGGCAAGTTTCTTTTTTGGGTTGCACTACCTAAGTGAGATACAGCCAGTGTTTAAAAAAAAAATCTAATACATAAATGCCTCAGACTCTTGGAATACTCTCCAAAATTTACTATTATGTTCTGTAACCCATGCTCCTAACAATACTTTTCCCCCCCTCATATAACCATACCACACATGGAATTGTACCTGGAACAAATGGTCAATATTATGTACCATCACTCTTGACACAATGTTACTCATATTATGAACTAAGTTTTAGTAATCAAAATATGAAGTATGCTTCTCTTGTTACCACTTACATGTAGGACTGCTGAAGCATTGGCACAGGGGGCTGGTGAATCTGGCCACCTGGTGTCCAAAACACTCTTTGGGAGCGACTTTGCAAGCCTGAGCAGAAACTCGCACTTTACCAACTGTTGGAAGCGAGCGTTGGTGGGGTTGACAGGGTCATTGCGAGTGATGAAGCCTTTCACAAACCTATTCAAAAATTATATTACTAACAGAGGAAATAAAGAACATTTCAGTTTCCTAAATATATTTTATATCTAACCAAATACATTCTCTTCCTACATTTACATAAACTAAAAAACCATATACATTTCTACATAGCTCATGCCCCTTAGCTCAGGAACAAGCCTTGTTGTATACTTCTGAATTTTCTCCAGTATCTTAACATTCACTGGCAACTCAGCAATCACTGGATGCTCAGTTGTCATTTAGTGTTGTCTGGAGACAGCCACAGGTGACCTGGCAGTGCCTGGCAATTTACATGTCATTGACTGAGCAATAGTCCAAGACAGACCTAACTTGTTGTATAGAGGGCCCAGAATGACTCCGAGATTTATGAAGGCCATTCTTAGATTTGCCAGATGAGCATTAGCTGCATAAGTTATTCAGCTGATGTGAGCCTTTGGCATTACAGTGGGCACTATGCTTGCCCCTAGGTCTTATTCCGAGTCAAGTCAGCAGCTTATGTTCCCCTAGTCTATACTGTTTCTTGCTCCTTCCACAAACTTCATAACCTTGCATTTACTGGGATTAAATTCAAGGAACCATTTATCTAACTACTCTTACAATTTGTCCAGATCTCTTTGGAGCTTTTCCCTGTCCTCATCTGTTATTATTCTCCTCGTTAGTTTTTAATCAGCAAACAGGGATATATCTAAATCCCATCCGGAATGTCATTCACAAACCATAGACAGTAATGGTTCAAATACTGTACCAATCCTTTTAGAACTCTGCTGGTTACTCTTCCCCATTCTGACTTGTGTTTACTCCACAGTGTTTTCAAGCAGTTTTAAGTTAATGTTGAAAATAATATTTGTATTACCAAATACAGGAATATGGGAATGCTTGAAATTCCTCAACTCAACCTGTACTCCCTAGAACACAGGTGGGAGAGATACATGGTTATATACACTTGGAAAATCCTAGAGGGATTAGTACCAAACTTGCTCACGAAAATCACTCCCTATGAATGCAAAAGACTCGGCAGACAATGCAACATCCCCCAATGAAAAGCAGGGGCACCACTAGCAAAATAAGAGACAACACAATAAGCATCGGGGGCCCAAAATTTTGACAGCATACATAAAGGGGATTACCAAAAGATCCCTGGCTATCTTCAAGAAGGCACTGAACAGGCACCTAAAGTCGGTACCTGACCAGCCGGGCTGTGATTCATATGTTGGGTTCCATGCGGCCAACAGTAACAGCCTGGTTGATCAGGCTGATACACCATGAGGCCTGGCCACAGACTAGGCAGCAGGGGCAGTGACCCCCCCTGAAACCCTCTCCAGGTATAGGAATGCAAGACGATACAATACCGTAACTAAAAATGTACTAACTCAATAAAGAATACTGGATACATATATTGGAGTGCTGCTGAAATTTGTACTTTCTTCCATAGTTCTTAGCTTATTTTAGCATATCAAAAATTTTATTTTTTTTTATTTACTGAAATACTATAAGGGGATTACAAAAGCAATGTACAGTATAGAATACCAACAAAGATATCGTGTGACATTTCTCACAAGGGTATTACAAAAGTATTTAATTACATTAAGGGTTATCAACTATTGTTTCCTAAATATTTTTAATTCACATATAAAATTTCCTCCACGAATTACACTGGGGCTACGTGTACTGGACTTTCAAAGCCTTTTAGGCCATTCTTTAAAGTACTGTAAAAGAAACTGATCTAAAAAAGAACTCAAGTGGTGGAAACAATCCATGGGAACTTGCACAATACAAATAGTAGTTAAGTTGCATGATGCAAAACACGGATAATACCCAAGCAAGATTGAGTTATCTGTAATTACTTTATGCAACAGAATAAGGTTAATTGTGGAAGGTTTTATGAAAGATCAGGTGTCATAATAATGAATTTTTTTCTGACAAAACTTTTCCATTCCTTTAAGTAATGCTTTCCAACTTCATGAAAAATGATAATGCCAATCAATGACTGTGGAGTTTGATTTGATGACCAAACATTCCCTCTACATTTCAATATTTATCATGAGCGTGTTCGATAGGAGTGGATGGAGACGAATGGTATTTGGGACCTGACAATCTGTTGGAGTGTGAGCAGGGTAATATTTAGTGAAGGGATTCAGGGAAACCGGTTATTTTTATACAGCCGGACTTGGGTCCTGGAAATGGGAAGTACAATGCCTGCACTCTAAAGGAGGGGTTTCGGGATATTGGCAGTTTGGAGGGATATGTTGTGTATCTTCATACGTATATGCTTCTAAACTGTTGTGTTCTGGGCACCTCTGCAAAAACAGTGATTATGTGTGAGTGAGGTGAAAGTGTTGAATGATGAAAGTATTTTCTTTTTGGGGATTCTTTCTTTTTGGGTCACCCTGCCTAGGTGGGAGACGGCCGACTTGTTGAAAAAAAAAATATGTATACATATATGTCGTGCCGAATATGTAAAACTGGTCAATTAGCAAGAACTCATTTAAAATTAAGTCCTTTCTAAAATTTTCTCTTATAGGTTTAAAGATATATTTTTTTCATTAATGTTGATGTAAAAACTTATAATTTTGCACCAAAAGGAACTTAGAAAACTTACCTAACCTTATTATAACAAGCGCAAGTTTTCTAAGTTCCTTTTGGTGCAAAATTATAAATTTTTACATCAACATTAATGAAAAAAATATATCTTTAAACGTACAAGAGAAAATTTTAAAAAGGACTTAATTTTAAATGAGTTCTTGCTAATTGACCAGTTTTACATATTCAGCACGACATATATGTATACATATTTTTTTTTTTCAACAAGTCGGCCGCCTCCCACCGAGGCAGGGCGACCAAAAAAGAAAATACTTTCATCATTCAACACTTTCACCTCACTCACACAATCACTTTTTGCAGAGGTGCTCAGAACACAACAGTTTAGAAGCATATACGTATAAAGATACACAACACATCCCTCCAAACTGCCAATATCCCGAAACCCCTCCTTTAGAGTGCAGGCATTGTACTTCCCATTTCCAGAACTCAAGTCCGGCTATACAAAAATAACCGGTTTCCCTGAATCCCTTCACTAAATATTACTGTATTATTAAAAACATTTATACCAATATTCCCAAATGACTTTGCCAACTCTTCCCATACACAAAATAGAGGTCTGCAGGAATGTAACTTAATACATGAAGATATATAATGGACACTAAAGTCTACAAAATCTAATGTGCAAACTTACGCTCTTACAACTCCAACAGCCCATTTCCTGCGCACACGCAGTCTCTGAGCCAAAACACGTCTCCAGTGCTTGGCCAATACAGTTGCAGCGGCTTTCATTTTCTTGTATTTTCTCTGGCACACAAAAGCCTTCCACTTGGCTTGTATCATTGTTGCCAATTCTTGCTTTCGCTTTTGGAATGCATCTTCGGTGAGGAACAGTGTCTTTGGCAGCCGAATGAACAGCTTTGTTCTAAAATATAAAATAAACATTTTTTTAAACATTTTATTTATATTTAAATTCTAAAGGCTTAACATTAATAATATAACGAGGTCTAGCGAGTCAAAAAGTATGACCATATTTTTATTACAAGAATGTTACTCATTGCAATAAGATTAACATATCACTCCTCTCCCACCAAGGAGGGGTCACCTGGAAGAGGAAACAGTCACTCACCATACATTCATTCAATACCCATCTTGCCAGAAGTATGCAAACACTAATTCAAATGACCCTCTGCACAACAATATCCTTGCCTCTCCTTCAGAATGCAGGCACAGTATTTCCCACTTCCATCACTCCAGCTAACGTGTTTCTCTGACTCCTTTCGTAAGTGCTACCTTACTCATACAAGCCATAAAAACCGCTCGTCTCTACTCACTCCAACTTAACATGCTCACACAAGTCTGCTGGATGCATGAAGTTCCTAGCACTCCCTTACATCCTTCCTACAAACCTTCCTGGAAAGACTCCTACCTTACCACTACATCCACCCAAGATTTACACACCCACTTAATCGTCCCATTCTGCTTCAGCCTCACTAACCCTTTTTCAGCCCTCTGAATAATACCTTTGGTAACCCCATACTGTCTTCTAATCACTACATTGCAAATTCTCAGCATAAGAATAAGATACAAGAAATACAATAACCTCTCTCAGAGTATACATGCCTTGATGTGTGTATAACAGAATGCTACTTATATTGCTTGTTAGTAAATGGTTTTATCTGAATGCTCATGCCCTAAAGCTTTAAAATGGTGGTTCAGGCCTGCTTAATGTGGTTACCTACAGCATATGCTGTAGTGGCCCTATGAAACTCAAACACACAGCCATTTATTGCTCAGTTTATTATTACTTCAACCATACAAGCACTAAACCCACCACCCAGTACAGCCACAACCATCTCCAACAAGCAAGAAGGGCAAATAATTTAAGGTAGGATAAAATTCTTCCTTGTCACTGATATGAGGAAGTGAAGATGGCACACAGGCGTAAAAGCACATGAAAAAGTACATGATGTAGATTTAACTTAGGATAATCACACAATGATTTATTACACTTGTTTATGAGTGTAAACCTCACTACATTCAACTTGACCTAGTAGCACAATATGAACCCTGACTACACATTTCTAGATCAACAGAATGCCACCTACAATGCAAGGTGTCAAAAATTCCATTATTTTTTAATGTATGGAACAGGTAGTAAGTTACTAAATGCCGTAGAGAGTTTTTATGAATATAGTCAGGCTCAGGTTAGGGTGTGTATGAGGGAGACTACTTCCCAGTAAAAGTAGCTCTTAGACAGGGATATGTAATGTCACCATGGTTGTTTAACATGTTTATAGATAGGATTGCAAAAAGTAAATGCTTAAGTGTCAGGGAGAGGGGTGGGGATAAATTATGGGGAATCGAATACAAAATGGGAGTTGACACAGTTACACTTTGCTGATAATACTGTGCTTTTGGGGGGTTCTAAAGAAAAGTTGCAAAGGTTAATGGAAGAGTTTGGGAGGGTGTGTAAAGGTAGAAAGTTGAAAGTGAGCATAGATAAGAATAAGGTGATGAGGGTATCAAAAAAATTAATTAAGGAAAATTGGATATCACATTGGAGGGAGTATTGAAGAAGAGTATGTGTTCAGATATTTGGGAGTTGACTTGTCAGCGGATGGGTTTATGAAGGATGAGGTTAACCACAGAACTGATGGAGGAAAAAAGGCAAGTGGTGTTTGGAGGTAACTGTGGAGACAAAGAACATTATCCACGGAGGCAAAGAAGTGAATGCAGGAGAGTATAGTGGTACCAACACTCTTATATGGGTGTGAAGCATGGGTTGTAAATGCTTCAGTGAGGAGGCAGTTGGAGGCAATGCAGAGGTGGTGTGGAGTTACTAAAATATTAATTAGATGGCTGAAGAGGTGGTTTGGTCATTTAGAGATAACGGAACAGAGTAGAATGACTTGGAGAGCATATAAATCTGTAGAGGAATTAAGGCAGAGTAGGGCCTTCCTTGAAAAGGTTGGAGGGAGGGGGTAAAGGTTCTGTGTGCAAGGGGCTTGGACTCCCAGCAAGCACGCACGAGCGTATTAGAATGGAGACTAATGGTTTGTGGGACCTGATGGAGTGTGAGCAGGGTAACATTTTGTGAAGGGGTTCAGGGAAAGCAGTTAGCCAGACTTGACCCCTGGAAATGGCAAGTACACTCCCTGCACTTTAAAGGAGGGATTTGGGATATTGGCAGTTTGCAGGGATATGTTGTATATCTTTATATATGCTTCTAAACTGTCATATCTGAGTGCCTCTGCAAAGACAGTAATTATGTATGAGCAAGGTGAAAGTATTGAATGAGGATGAAAGTATTTTCTTTCTTTTTGGGGTCCCCCTGCCTCGGTGGGAAACGGCCAACGTGTTACAAAAAAAAAAAATTTTTTTAGAGGGCTAAAGAATGCAACTGTATTTCTTGAATACATTACTCACATTGCAAAATTATATAAGAACAACCCACGCTTTATTCGAGTCTACTGTAATTCAAATGTTCAAGTCTTCAAATATACAGTACAACAAAATACAGCAAATATTAAATAAGGGCCCATAAACCAGACTTACTCTCCCATACGATAGTCATCAGGGTGATATCCAAGATGTTGAACAATAGCCATCACGCCATCCTTTGCTGGCCCATTATACTTTGGCCAAGTGGCAGGACAAACAGATTTGTAGCGACCCAAGAAAATCTCGTAAGCACGCCGGTAGGCAAATCCTGCTCGTCTCACTCTCAAATTTTCCATCAGACCAAGGTATTTAACCTGATGGCTGACACGTTCCTCATCAAAGTAGTCTGAGGACGAAAATGACAAAAATACATTACTGGTAATGATATACACTCATTTTTGTAAGATGTTCAAGCCCCTGCATCTGAAAGCAACTTTCACACCATTTTAGTTGTTAAAGTTACATTGGGCAACATTAAAAAATTTTCTTTAATCACGAATGTCATGTCTTAAAGAACTAAATAAATTTACTTACAGGATCTTTTATCATCATTAGGCTTAATACAACGAATGTAAGAAGGCTCCTTGCTCATAAGAATTGTCATCAAACCAGCCAAGCTGTTCTTGAATTGCGTGGCGGCAGTGACTGGCCTTTTCTTTTGTGAAAACTCATCCTAAAATAAAATGTGCAATTGTAATCCATGCAAACAATATAGTCATTAAATATCTTATATTAAAAATAGTCAAAATTTGGAAAACTTTATGAACTGAGAAATATATCAACCATACAAAACAATCCCAGTAAAGACATGTTAAGAAATATCTGAAGAATATGGATCAAAGTACAAAGAATTTAATATTATTCTGCCAAACTTTGGGTGGCAAACTGATATTAGAACTGCCATCACATATTAGAAATGGCTGTACCTCCTAGTTTGAATACTGGAATTCAAGAAATGCTGCTATTACTATATTTTGAAAATATTAAATTAACCATATATTCCAAGACTCTCCCCTAGTACTGCATGCATATAATAATTTTTAGGACCTGAAGAACTGTTGGAGTGTGAGGAAGATAACATTTCATGAAGGGGTTTAGGAAAACCAGTTAGGCAGACAAGTCCTGGAGGTGGGAAGTACATTGCCTGCACTCTAAAAGGAGGGGTTTGGGATATTTTCTGTTTGGAGGGACATTTGAAGCATCGTATATATGCGCCTTTGGCAACACAGTGATAGTGTAAATGATGGTAAAAGTATTTCTTTTTTGGGTCATCCTACCTCAGTGGGAGATGGCTAATGTGGTTAAAAAAAATAATTAGCTTATCTTGGTTGTGTATGGAAACATTCCTACACGAAACAGAAAGGTTGCCTGGTTTCCTATTATATATATTTTCCACAGCCATAATCATAGAATTATACAACTTTACATCTTACTTCTTTCAATATATAAATTGACCTTGTTTTCAGAAACCACAAGTGTGCTTTTTTGCCTTTCCCTCTTTCTTTCTATTTTTCTTTATGAATGAATGTAAGCAAGCATCAAATATTTCACTTAAATGACTTTCTAACAAACATTGTTAAATATTTCAGATTCTTTAATGAATGAAATGCCTGAATTCATGTAAATGATGCCACTTTCTCAAGAGGGAAGAAATCAAAGACATAATGCTCTCTAAAACAGTACATGATAAAACCAATGGCTAAAAGAAACAGCACTTTAAAAACTAGTTCCTAAAACTCAAGAACAAAAATTCAATACAAATTTAATCTTGAGAAACCATCATTTTAAATCAATCCTGTCCAGTTTGTCCTTTTTAAGAAGTTAAAACTGAAATATTTAGGAAGACTGAACAAAGAAATAAGAAGTCTGCTATATCCACTATCAATGTTTTGAAGATTCTATAGCTGGCTTTGATTTAGTTTTGATAAATAAAACTGGTTGGCAAATATCAGTACACACAACCATATTTCCTTATTTGCAGGCAAGCACACTTAAAAAAAAAATATACATCCTCAAAAATTTTTATGCCAGGTTTCGATTTTGTCCTGCAAGTGACACTAAGTGCGAGGGTAAGGTGGAGAGGATTAGAGGTAGGAGGATTCTAATGAATTTGAGAAATAAATTTCATGCCAAATTGAAGTATTAGCCCATCCTTAATTTCAATTTCACCCTAATTTCCACATTTTTAACATGCCAGCCACTTCCCACCATGACTGTGTGTGTATTGGGGGGGGGGGGGGGGTGCACACTCCTGTCAGATGGATACTGACCCTCCTTGTAGATACAGACACTGTTTCCCACCTCTGGGTCTCAAGTTTGACTAACCAGTTTGCCCTGAATCTCTTCATAAACAATACCTTGTTCTTGCTCTACTGTCCTTATGTATGGTACTATCACAAAGACATGCTAGGGCCAGTATGTGGCATGGTATGATTTTATTATTCTTTTATTAGACCTGTTAAACAAGTATTTGCTTTTAAAACAAATGCATGAACTCTAAACTTAACCAAGGAATAATAAAATCATACCATGCCACATTCAATATAACCAAATTTTTATTACCTTGGGAAACACACTGGTAATTATTATGTTTGAAGTGTGAGTCATGGCCTCTTTTAGGTCACGGAAGAGCAAATCATTATTCTTATCCAAGAAGCCCTGTACTCTGTATGCAACTTCACCTGCATAATGCCGCAATCTAAATTCATCCTTATTTATGGTTTTCTTTACCTGCAAAAAAATTTTTTAATATATAATAAATATATGGATATTATCATTATCTACAGTTTTTTACCTACAAGTGGCAAGTACCTGTCTAGAAAGGTGCATGGAAAAAGCATTACTGTATAATGGAAGAAAGTTGAAACACAATAGCAAAGAGAAATATAAACAAAGAGCTACCCAAGGAATAAAACATTTACTAAATAACTGCTCCTCCAGAAAGGTAAAGATGTGATCCAATGTTTATCCAACAAAGCATAGCTACTCCTCACTGTGGGCACCATACACAACAGTTTCCTAGACTTCAATTTACTTGGCCAGAGTTCCTAACTGTTAGCACAGTATGCTAAATAATGACTTTGAATGTGAGAAGAATGAGAATAGTGTATAGCATTTCACCAGAGATGAACATCAACCGAATAATCTCTGATGCCAATGCTTGCCTGGCAAATCTAAGAGTGCCTTGAAGTCTCAACAAAGTGCCTTTGGGAACTTTATACATGTTTGAGGCCCCTCTTGGAGTACAGAACACCAGTATGGAACCCACACCTAGGAAAACAATTCAAGAAACTGGAAAAAGTGCAGAAATACGCAACAAGGTTTGTTCCTAAGTTAAGGAGCACGAGCCGAGTAAAGACTAATGGAACTAAATCTAATGATACTAGAGGATAGAAAAATCAGGGAATATAATACTAAGGGCAACTGATAAGATTGACAAGGACATAGGGACAGGCTGGATGAGTGGCAAGAAAGAAGTTAAAGACACAGATGAGCCACAGGGATGTCAGGAGATATTTCTTCAGTCAATTTTTCTAACACTGGCTTGATTTTTCACTTATTGGCAAATAGATATATAGTAGTACAAACCTACATGTATGTCAAGGTAACTTAATGAAAATAAGAATTGTACAAAACAGTGTGAGCAAATATGCTAAATTTACTGATAATGTAATTTTAAGTTTTCTGACTCTTATTGAACTGGGTCCTACCTGATTATAAACTTTTATACTACTGACAGACTGGATAAGTGGCCTAAAATAAAACAACCTTACATTAATGAAAAACAAATTTCATAAGCCTTAACATCAAGAATAATAATTAATGACAGAATATTTTTTTTTTCCCCAAAAAAAGTCGGCTGTCTCCCACCGAGGCAGGGTGATCCCCAAAAAAAGAAAGAATCCCCAAAAAGAAAATACTTTCATCATCATTCAACCCTTTCACCACACTTGCACATTATCACTTTTTGCAGAGGTGCTCAGAATACAACAGTTTAGAAGCATATGCGTATAAAGATACACAACACATCCCTCCAAACTGCCAATATCCCAAACCCCTCCTTTAAAGTGCAGGCATTGTACTTCCCAAAAGAACATAAGTGTTGGTACTAATATATTCTCAAATTTCCCTATATTGTAAGTTACGCTCATTGCCTGGCTCCTTCCTATGTTCACTCTTCCTTCTTTTACATACCCTCCCAACTTTGTCCACCAACCTCTGCAACTTTTCAGAATCTCCCAGAACGACAGTGCCTTCTAAAACCAACTGTGATAAGTCACATTTTGTATCAGATTCTTTATATTTTAACCCCACACCTCTCCCCAACACCTTAGCATTCACTTTTTTATAAACCCCATCAATATGTTGAACAATCCCTGTCTAAGGACTACTTGTACTGGAAAATATTCTCCCTCTTTCCTTCATACCCAAACCTGAGACTCGCTATCCTCATAAAATTCTTTAACTACCTTCAGTAACCTACCATCTATTCCATACACTTGCAATATTTGCCACATTGTTTCCCCTATCCATCCTATCATATGCCTTTTATAAATACAGAAATGCAAAGAAAACTTCCCTACCTTTATCCAAATACTGTTCACTTACATGCTTCAATGTAAACAGTCCACACATCCCCTACCCTTTCTAAAGCCTCCTTGTTCATCTGCAATCCTGCTCTTCATCTTACCCTTTATTCTTTCAATAGTGGGTACCATACACTTTACCTGGTACACTCAACACTTATACCCTTGTAATTTTTACCCTCTCTTGTCTCCTATTCTTTATACAAAGAAATTATGCATAATCTCTGCCAATCCCTAGGTACATTCCCCACTTTCATACAACTAGCTCTTCCTTACTCCTAAAATATGTTATATTTCCCTGGGAGTACATGAAATCACTGCCTTCCTTTCATCAACATTTAACAACTTCTCACTTCTAATTTTTACTGTCAGATTCCCTTGTTCCCTAGGTTTTCTCAATCTATTAGTCTCACTCTAAAGTTTTTCATATGCTCAACAAAATTTTTTGACAGAACCTCACCCACTCTCTCATCTGTTCATTTTACAAGTGTATGGAACAGGTGGTAGGTTACTGAAGGTAGTTAAAGATTTTGTGAGGCTAGTGAGGCTCAGGTTAGGTTATGTCCATTACTGTAAAGATTTTTTAGAAACCATCACTTAATTGGTAGCTGTCCTTACTTTACTGTTATCAGAAGTCTCATAGCTGAAGTAATGGTTGTGGGTAGCCAGGTGAGAGTTCATTTTATTAAGAAATGTTAAGTCTGTTGCATCACCAGGTCGCAAGCACTCTTCATCCAGGAGGGAGATGATACCTAAAATGCAAAGTTCAGTCACTATGTATCTGAGTAGGAAGTGACAAATTCACAGTTGTTTTTATTTGCCCATTATGGAATACAATGGGATACAAAAAGAAAACAGTATTATATTATTGAAAGTTATTTCATTTAGGAATGTAACTGTAATAATAAAACTAATTCATGGTAAATTACTACTACTACTACTGTATTAATGCCTATTCTTTACTGTTAACTATCACATTGGAAACTTACACCACAAACTTACAACTATTAATTTTTGATGATGTAATGCCATACAAATGTATGATACAATATTAAAGTTCTCCTGTGTAATAATGTTCAATATAATGTACTTTTAATGAAACTAATATGTACATGGTAGTTAAATTTTTTTTAACAAGTTTTAATATCATTACTAGCACTAACATTTTTTAGCTTTAGTCCTACCTGAATGTTGGAAAAGTGTTCTTTTTCCATGTATGGCTACAGGTTTTTAAAACTCATCATATCAAAGCCACATAGTATCAAAGACTGTATAAATCCTGAAATTACTTTGCTGTGAGCCTATACATGCTGTAGATGGTCTTACACAAGGCCAAATTTTGTCGCTTCTATTTACCCTAGAATGTATTAGGATCTATACAAAACTACGAATTTTTCTATACAAGCTCAAAAAACGTCCATGAAATATATTTTGTTCATCTTCTTTCAACAAACCGGCCGTATCCCACTGAGGCAGGGTGACCCAAAAAAGAAAATCAAGAGTTTCTCTTTTTAACTATAGTAATGTATACAGGAGAAGGGGTTACTAGCCCCTTGCTCCTGATATTTTACTAATATGCATCTAAAAACAAATGCACATATCTAATGCAAAGCAAAATATTAACGAAAAGACAAACTTACTCTTCATGTTGTGATAAAGCTTTACATATTGGGAGTATTATCACACACTACAGAGTTATTACAAATGCCTGCTCTGTACCTATGTCTCTTTGTTACTTTCGATTATATGCTTTTGTAATAAATAATAATAATAATTAATAAATTATTAATAATAATAATAATAATAATAATAAAAAGACATTCACTACCTTAATGTTGTACTGTTTAATTGTGCTGGTATTATTTATGCATCAGAATTACCCTGGCCATTCTGGTAGCAAAACTGCACTTTTCAATTAACTCAATGATATCTATGATTTCTTTAACAATATTAGTGCAATGATGATGACTGACAGTAATACTGAAAGCATTTTTTTCATACTGTAATACTGTACATGATACAGTACAAATACAAATACGTTCATATCTCCTAAATACTGTACTATGAATGTTTTATTTTGTGCTTAAATTTTACTAACACCATGCCCAATGGAACTGCACCTACTCTGACTTGTCTAGATAACTACAGCATACATAGATATATATAATCTCTCAGTTCACTATATACAATACAGTATTTAGATTAATAATTTGTCAGTTGCATCTACATAAATTTTTACTTTATATTTTATCTAGTTCTCCATGGGAAAGTGGAACAGAATTCTTCCTTCGTAAGCTATGCGTGTCATAAGAGTCTACTAAAATGCCAAGAGCAAGGAGCTAATAACCCCTTCTCCTGTATACATCACTAAAGTTAAAAAGAGAAACTTTTGTTTTTCTTTCAAGGCCGCCCTGCTTCGGTGGGATACAGCCAGTTTGTTGAAAGAAGAATTTATCCAGTAAAATTGAAGGATAGGGATTTCTTGTAGAAAAAAAATGCACCTGCCTCTATTGGTATTAAAGAATTAATAAAAAGTATTTAAGAATACTTCATTCTGTTCAAGTAAACCTTACTAAAATATGACTACCTTGGAATAGCCTTTAATGAGGTCACTATTTGAATGGCATGAGGGAAGAAGGACCTTCAGCTCATTTATATTACACAGTTTTTTTTTTCCATCCTTCAGCATTTTAATTGTTAATAAAGTTAAATACCATTTTCATTTCCTAAACAAGAGGTATATTACAATTGTGTCCTTGTTTATTTATAATGTAAGTTTTATGTGGGCTAAACATTACGCTTGTCATTAGTTCAACAGGCTACTGATTTAGAGTCCTACTATACAGTAGGCAACATACATGTGTGCACAAACAGATCACACAGTAAACAAACCTGCTCACCATAACCTATTGTTTTTAATATATAATATGAACTGAAATATGTGCAGTAGGGCCCCACTTATAGGGCAGGATAGGTTCCAGGCTACCGCCGGAAAGCAGACATCGCCGGAAAGCAGAACACCATTTTTTCCACTTACAAATGCATATAAATGCTAGATAAGTTTACACTAATATACATTAAGTTAGCAATAGAACTAGGCATTAAAAAAAGTAAAATACACAAACAGTACATTCATTACTTAAAATATTTATAGTCTTAATGTAGGGTGAGAGGCGAGTAGTATTTATTGTAATAAGTCAGGTGTGGGAGGTATGGTAGCCAGCAAGCCCACCCCACCCACACACAATATACTACAACATTTAAAGTGCCCCAGAGCCATAAAATGCACATACAGTACACTCTTCACTTTTTTTTTTTTTTCAACAAGTGGGCCGTCTCCCACCAAGACAGGGTGACTTATTACTTTCCTTAAAATATTTGTACTCTTAATGGAGGGAGAGAGGCGAGTAGCATTTATTTGTAAGAAGTCAGGTGTGGGAGCTATGGTAGCCAGCCAGGCCAGGCCACCCCACCAACATGTAATACTACTACAACATTTAGAGTGCAATAGTGATAAAATGCATATACAGTACACTCATTACTTACCTTAAAAGTATTTGTAGTCGTAATGTAGGGAGAGGCGAGTAAACAAGGTAAAATGAATAAGACGGAAAGAGAAAGAAAAAGAAGATGCACACGCACACACACGGCATGTGGGTTCGATTACATGGATGGGGTAAAAATACTCACGTAGACTGGTAGTACGTATAATATATAACGGGAAGTATGGGAAGCGCCAACAGCCAACCTGCCTCTCTCTGCTCCCTATCTTAGACTGACTCACAAGTGCCTACCGGGTAAGGCATTCAAAAATATGCTATTGTCAGCAGCAACATGAATAACAAGTCAGTGATTCACACAGACGGTTGGTAGTGAGTCATCTACTGGTACACTGGTTACTAGGAACTGGTACTACTACCGAGAGCTCGGTGACGCTAACGTACGTCGTCCCGACATACAGCTAATACAACTAGAGACGGCAGGTGTACGGCTTGGGCTGATTCTATACAATGTCAAAGTACACAACAATTGAGCATTATAACATACATAAGTAGAATATTGGAATAGAAGCTTACGTAATTGAAACTGTAATGAAACTAACACATTACAAGGTATGATATAGCACAACTCATCGAATGAGACTCAACATTGGGATTACACAATAAAAGTGATAAAAAAAAATTTGATCGATCGATCTGTATTCATGTGATCTACGGATTCTGAGGAAGGAATATATACAAAGAAAAGTGTTTAACAGAAAGGCAGATTCGGTGCACTCAAATCTAGACTGTTAAATCTCAGAATTCGGAGAGAACGTGAACAAAAAAAAATTTCTTGAATACTGATAAGTTGATACTGTAATTATTCATCTATACAGGTTATTTACATTTAACCCCAACTCTGCTAGGGTGAGATTGACATATGCAGAATGGGTGTCATCTCTGGGAGGATCAAACTGTTGCACTGGCTAAATCATGCCGTATTTGAGGCAAATCTGAATTGGTAGTAACAAATGATACTTGAGGATTTCTCAATACCTGTCGTGTACGTAGGGAATAACGACATTCAGGTTGATCGTCTGACCGAGTATCAGAGGTAGAGAGTACAGGATCAGGAGGACTGTCAGAGTGTCACATTAGTCTGGGTTGGAACATCATTATCATCACATACTAACTTCATATGATCTAAATGCGATTCTTTATACTGACCAGTACTAATTTCTCTAACCTTATACTTATTGTCAGTGATATGTTCAACTACTCGATAAGGACCAACAAACTTTTGATCCAGCTTTGGCATTGCAGACGTTTTGTTAAAGTTAATCAGCATAACTCTCGAACCTACTTTGATTTTGGACGGCTTTGCTCGAGTGTTTGTGGCTCTTGTAAATTCTGCTGTTGATTTATGAAGAGTTTCACGGATTCTTCTAAAGACGCTTTGAGCTAAGCTGGTACGAGTTGCTATGAAATCATCAGGATTGTAATTTGGTTTCGGATTAGAATATAGCAACTCATAAGGCAAACGTTTATCTACACCGTACAATGCATAATGTGGAGTGTCACCTATGGAAACATTGTAAGCAGAATTTATAGCACACTGCACATCAGGTATAACTTCATCCCAAGTTTCACTGTTGGGATTGATAGTGGCTCTCAAGACATCAAGTACTTTCTTATTGGTTCGTTCCGCTAACCCATTGCTGGCAGGATGATGAGGAACAATGGTGGATTTAGAGATCTTGTACAAGGTACACAAATTTTCAAGAATTTCATTACAGAATTCACCACCATTATCAGTTACTAGGGACTTAGGGGTGGTATGGCTGCAGATAATGCATTCTTTAAATGCTTTAGCTACTGTTTCTGCAGTCTCATCTGCAATAGGAACTAGCTCACAATATCTGGTGAAATGGTCTACCATAACACACAGATGTTTGTTGCCCTGGAGGGAACATTGGAAATTAGTTAACAAATCTAGTGCAACTCTTTCCCATGGTTCGCTAGTAGTTGGATACACTTGGATTGGATTAGGACCATTAGCATTACCTTTATGTTGCATGCAGACACTACATTTCTTAACATACTCAGAAGTATCAGTTGCCATTCGAGGCCAAAAGTATTTCAATCTAGCTTGTTTTACTGAACGATCCATACCCGGGTGCGCAACACCTGGTACATCGTGAACTAGCTGTAAGGCTACATTCACTAGTGACTGGAATTACTAACTGGTATACTCTTCTGCTAGGAGTACCCAACTCTGCTGTTCGATACAGTAATTCTTGGTTCATGACAGTCACTGACGGGTGCTGGTGGCTTCACAGTCAGAATAAGATCTTCCTGGAGCAGGAATCGAATCACGCCAGACCACATGGGATCTGCTCGTCGAGCATTCTTTACATCTTCGGCAGTAAATGGAGGGTCTGCAGTTACTATACTAACATGTCGCGATAAGGCATCTGCGACTATATTTGACTTGCCAGGTAAGTGTTCAAAGGTGGGATTGAACTTTTGGATAGTCAAGGTCCATCTGGCTAACCTTCCAGTAGATTGTTTGTTCTGGAATAAAGGTATCAGTGGAGCATGGTCTGTCAAGACATGAACAGAGTACTGATAAATAATGTCTCGGAAGTGCTTTAAAGACCATACTATTGCTAAAGCATCTTGCTCAGTTACTGTATAATTACGTTCACCCTTCATAAGGACTCGGCTAGCAAATGCAACTGCGTTGTACTTGCCATCAGTCTTCTGAGCTAGTACGGCACCTATGCCAATAGAACTAGCATCAGTTGTCAGATAGAAGGGCTTAGAAAAATCTGGATATTTCAAAATTGGAGCAGATGTTAGCTTTTCTTTGAGAGTTTGGAATGCTCTTTCTTGACGGAAGATCCAAACGAAAGGAGCATCTTTCTTAAACTCAGAGGAGCAGCTATGGAAGAAAAATTAGCAATGAAAGATCTATAAAAACCTGCTAAGCCCACAAAGGATCTTACGGCATCAGCAGTTTTGGGAGTTGGAAAATTTAGTACTGCAGTTACTTTACTTTGGTCAGTCGTAACCCCTCTAGGAGCGACTACGTGACCAAGAAACTTAATTTCTGATCTGAAAAACTGACATTTAGACAGTTTGATCTTTAAATTGGCTTCAAGTTTACCAAGTACTACATCAAGTCTTTTCAAGTGTGTATCCACGTCTTTAGACATGACGATTACATCATCTAAGTACACCGTAAGTGCATTACCTATGAGACCTCTAAAGATATTAGTCATGAGCCTTGAGAACGTGATAGGGGAAGATGTAATCCAAATGCCATACGGAGGAAGTGATAATGACCTATAGGAGTGGAGAATGCAGTTACCTCTTGCCTGTCCTCGTGAAGTGGGACTTGCCAAAACCCTTGTAACAAGTCCAGGGTTGAAAAGACTTATCTCCGATGTAACGTAAAAGATCACCCAGTACAGGAAGTGGGAAGCGATCTGGAATAGTTTTCGCATTTAACTTCCTAAAGTCAATCACTGGGTGCCAAGTACCATCCTTCTTAGGCACTAGGATCAAGGGCGCAGTCCAAGGTGAATTGCTAGGTGCAATAACTCCATCATCAAGCATTTGATTGATCAATTCTTCTGCGACAGCAACTTGTGAATGAGGCATTCTGTACGCAGGTACATAGATAGGTCTAGTACCAGGTTCAAGTGGAATACGATGGGACAATAAGTTCGTTATACCCATCTTCTCACCTGGTAAAGCAATGGCTTTACGACGTTTGTTCAACAGAGTCAACAAATGCTTGACCTCGTCTGGGAAGTCAGTGGGAGCTAAGTCTTTCTCCTCAACCAGTGGAACAGATTGATACAGTGAAGTGGACGAGGTCTAAATTTGTCATGTGGGTTCGATTACGTGGATGGGGTAAAAATACTCACGTAGGCTGGTAGTATGTATAATATATAACGGGAAGTATGGGAAGCGCCAACAGCCGACCTGACTCTCTCTGCTCCCTATCTTAGACTGACTCAAGTGCCTAGTAGGTAAGGCATTCAAAAATATGCTATGGTCAGCAGCAACATGAATAACAGTCATTCGCACAGACAGTTGGTAGTGAGTCACCTACTGGTACACTGGTTACTGGTTACTAGGAACTGGTACTACTACTGAGACAGAGAGAGAGAGACACACACACACACACACACACACACACACACACACACACACACACACACACACACACACACACGGAGAATGTAAACAAGCAGATGAACACGTCTTGTTTTGGTTCATACTTGCTCATCTTCACCTAACATCTCATATTTATGTTAATTATTTTATTCTACTGTGGGGTGTATTTATCACATTTATGTTATATAGTGTGTTTATATAATTTTGAAAAAATATGGATGAATTAATGAAAATGTTTATAGTAATGTAGGTAGTAGGTTGGTAGACAGCAACCGCCCAGGGAGGTACTACCGTCCTGCCAAGCGAGTGTAAAACGAAAGCCTGTAATTGTTTTACATGATGGTAGGATTGCTGGTGTCTTTTGTCTGTCTCATAAATATGCAAGATTACAGGTAAGTCTTGCTACTTCTACTTACACTTAGGTCACACTACACATACATGTACAAGCATATATATACACACCCCTCTGGGTTTTCTTCTATTTTCTTTCTAATTCTTGTTCTTGTTTATTTCCTCTTATCTCCATGGGGAAGTGGAACAGAATTCTTCCTCTGTAAGCCATGCGTGTCATAAGAGGCGACTAAAATGCCGGGAGCAAGGGGCTAGTAACCCCTTCTCCTGTATATATTACTAAATTTAAAAGGAGAAACTTCAGTTTTTTCTTTTGGGCCACCCCACCTCAGTGGGATACGGCTGGTACATTGAAAGAAGAAAGTTTATATTAATGTAACAGACAACATTTAATGCGCCTCGGAATGATTATTATTGCATATTAGTGATATTAATGTGTACCTGCATACCAGCACAGTGTGCAAGTTAATTTGGGTACAGGTACACAAGTATAATTATAAGATTACAACATGAAGTAACTTAAAAATTCTTCAAATTTTGGAAAGTTTCCAGACATAATGGAGATGCGGTGCTCACGGAGATTGTAAACAAACCTGGTGGGGTGCAGTGACCGCATTAGAAAGTCAGGTGGGGAAGCCGTATAGCGAGTTTTGGTCGTAATTTGAGATATCTGTACTAGCGGAATGCGGCAAGACGAAACATCGTAAAGCGTTGTCCTACTGTACATGTTCCTCATCTAAACTAGTATTTCCTAGGATTACCCTTCCTCTTGATGCACTCCTTAAGTCTCCCAGGCACTGATAAAGCTAACATATGGAGAACAGTTAAGTCAATATCTTCCCACACTTGCCTAATGGCACTCAAGATTTTGGGGTTAGAGGTCATATCCATGTCATGAAGCTTTAAGTTTTCAAATGCTCTCTAACCTGAACATGTCCAGTGAATTTCCAGGCCAGTCATTACAGTATGGAGCAATCACAATTTAGCCAATTCTTTGTATCTTTGGCAGTATGGCAAGGGGTGCCATTCCCATACAAAAACTGCCCTGGCACTTCTTAAATCTGGCAAATGGGCTGAAAAAGGTGTAATTTTCAGCATGCACTACAAAGACATCATACTTTTAAAATGTCAAAATATTCTTCACACAACAAATTCACTGCACTTCCTTTACCTTTGTGTTTTTCCTCCACTAGATCACAAATGATCTTGTTGTCAAAATATTGCACTTTCTCCCACTCTATTCCTTCTCTATAGTATTCCTCCTGCTCACTCCTAAGTGTCAGCTCAATGAACACCTGCTGCAGTTTTTCATTACAGTAGTTTATGCAGAACTGCTCAAACCTGCAAAAATATTAACAATGATAGTTTAAACTGTTAAGTTAATGAAAACTTTTAGAAAATGTCTTCAAATTTTGTACATATACAGTACAGCTGGCCTCCCCCTTTTTTGTGCTTGCCCCAAATTAAAATGGTAATTTACAAGTTTGAAAATCTTTTCTTAAATTTAAATATACTTCTTAAATCTAGAATTCCAAATACAACATTACGGTAATCACGAGAATATGCACAGTGTTTCTGGCCTTATCTCGTAACCATCGACTGAAATAGCTTTGTGGTGGTACACACGCATTTTTGAACCATGTATCGGTTGTACTCCCATTATCACTGTCCAGCTCATTCTACTTTATCACCATCATATTTTTCTAACCCTAAAGACCTTAGCTTCACCACATCAAGTCCCACCAATTTTTTTTTTTTTTTTTTTTTTAACAAGTCGGCCGTCTCCCACCGAGGCAGGGTAACCCAAAAAATAAAAAATCCCCAAAAAGAAAATACTTTCATCATTCAACTCTTTCACCTCACTCACACATGATCACTGTTTTTGCAGAGGTGCTCAGGACACAACAGCTTAGAAGCATATACGTATAAAGATACACAACATATCCCTACAAACTGTCAATATCCCGAACCCCTCCTTTAGAGTGCAGGCATTGTACTTCCCATTTCCAGGACTCGACTCCGGCTATATAAAAGTAACTGGTTTCCCTGAATCCCTTCATTAAATATTACCCTGCTCACACCAACAGATCATCAGGTCCCAAATACCATTAGTCTCCATTCACTCCTATCGAACACGCTCACGCACGCCTGCTGGAAGTCCAAGCCCCTCGCCCACAAAACCTCCCTTACCCCTTCCTTCCAACCTTTTCGAGGACAACCCCTACCCCGCCTTCCTTCCCCTACAGATTTAAAAGCTCTCCATGTCATTCTACTTTGATCCATTCTCTCTAAGTGACCAAACCACCTCAACAACCCCTCTTCGGCCCTCTGACTAATACTTTTAGTAACTCCACACCTTCTCCTAATTTCCACACTTCAAATTTTCTGCATAATATTTACACCACACATTGCCCTTAGACAGGACATCTCCACTGCCTCCTCACTGCTGCATTCACAATCCAAGCTTCACACCCATATAAGAGTGTTGGTACTACTATACTTCCATACATTCCCTTCTTTGCCTCCATAGATAATGTTTTTTGTCTCTATATACATCAATGCACCACTCACAAATAAAAAAAACTTATTAAGGAATCTTCGATGTAACAGGAAAAGAGGAACTGAGGAAACCCAAGTTAAAATCCTACCCCAACACGAGTGTTCTAGCTTAATGTCAATTTAAATTCCTTATAAGGATGAAATGTTGTACAGCCATTTTTGTGTAATATGCTAAAACACTGCTAACACTGTCATAGCCACCCTGATGCCACTCAACACAAGATTAACATTGTCAGGGTACTGAGATAACCATACTGAATACTGAGCTGTATTGTGGTTTTTCAAAATTAATTTTACTAATTTCCCTATATTGTACATCAAATTGGTAGACTGCTACCACCCAGGGAAGTACTACACTCCTGCAAAACAAGTGTGAAAAGGAAATCTGTAATCATTTTACATGATAGTAGGATTGCTGGTGTCTTTTCTTTGTCTCAAACACACAAGTACATCTTGCTACTTCTACTTACACTTGGGTCACACTACACTTTCATATACACACCTATCTGAATTTTCTATTTTCATAACAGTTCTAGTACTTATTTCCTTTTATCTCCATAGGGAAGATGAAAAGAATCCTTCCTCAACAAGCCATGTTGTAAGAGGCAACTCAAATGCCGGGAGCAAGGGGCTAGTAACCCATTCTCCTGTATAAATTACTATAAAAAAAGAAGTGTTCCTTCTTTTTGGGTCACCCTGCCTCAGTGGGAGACAGCCAATGCGCTAAAAAAAAAAAGAAATTAACGAGCGACTTTTTTTCCTTTCTTGTCTGATAATCTGCGAGTGTGAAAATATCTAGTGTACAAGTTTATTAATTATTCAAATTTTATATTATTAACATGCTGGTAGTCTCCCACCGAGGCAGGATAACCCCCCCCCCCAAAAAAAAAATTATTATATACCATACAAATCATAGTACACGTAATTAAAATTAACAGAGCAAAATTTTAAACAATACTCGGGGAAAAGTTGACATACCCATTCTTGTCGAATATCTCAAAGCCATAGATGTCAAGAATCCCCAGAAGTGTCTTCCTTCCAGACTCTGGGCTCTCAAGAGAATGGTTCAACCTCACCACCAGCCAATTAAACACTCTCTCATAAACCGACTTGGCAAGAGCATCTCTTGCATACACAGCCTGACCAAAATAAAGAGATTGCTTTTATCAATTAAGGAGTATATGCTATACAAAATTCTGCTGCATGTTCATCAGTGTTCAATATATTTAGAACTTTTCCATAACTAACTGAAGGAATCAAGAATACCAGCCGAGTCATTTCTACAAAATTAAGTCGTATTGTGCACTATACCTGCTCTGGATTTAGGGGCGAAGTGACAATGTCTCCACGTGCTTCTATGGTGCGATGTGTTAAAGCCTTCCGTAAGACATCTTTATCACATCCTATCAACTAAAAAGTTATATAATGAACATTTAAAGAAAATCCGTATTTAAACTTTTCATATTACAGCAACAATTGAATAAACTAACTGTACACATTACAGCTAATATATTCACTGATAAAAGTTTTGCCAACAGAAATTACACTGTTCAATGTTCCAAAAAAAATGTTGACAGTAGGCATGCAATTCCAATGAATCCCACTGCCTGTTCATGCATATACAGTCATGAATGAAATGGAGATTCATAAACTGCCTTAACTCATGAGATACTACAATGATTAAAAAAAAAATTGCACCAAGCATCCAAACAAGACCCTATACTTTTTGATAAGCTAGGCATAAGGAAAGGTTCACAGCATTATCCTATCTACTTTCAAAACACATTATCTTACCACAACCCAGCATGTGGTATTGCTTTCAAGGAAGAAAAAAGCATTTCTCACCAGACTAATACAGTGGACCCTCAGCTAACAATATTAATCTGTTCCGGAAAGCTCATCGTTGGCTGAAATTATCGTTAGCTGAATTAATTTTCCCGATAAGACATAATGGAAATCAAATTAATCCGTTCCTGGCACCCCAAAGTATGGAAAAAAAAAAAATTTACCACATGAAATATTAATTTTAATACACACAAACTGACACTTACCTTGATTGAAGATCTGGTGATGACTGATGGGATGGGAGGAGGGGAGAGTGTGGATGTTGTTAATGTTTAGAAGGGGAATCCACTTCCATTAGGACTTGAGGTAGCAAGTCCTTTTCCGGGGTTACTTCTTTTAATGCCACTAGGACCAGCTTGAGAGTCACTAGACCTCTGTCGCACAACATATCTGTCCATTGAGGCCTGTACCTCCCATTCCTTTATGACTTTCCTAAAGTGGTTAATAACATTGTCAGTGTAATAGTCACCAGCACGGCTTGCAATAGCTGTGTGAGGGTGATTTTCATCAAAAAAGGTTTGAACTTCAAGCCACTTTGCACACATTTCCTTAATTTTTGAAGTAGGCAACTTCCTCAATTTCTCTATCCCCTCCTCCGAAGCAGTTTCCTTAGGTCTGGCCTCTTGCTGTTGATGATCTTGCAGCTCATCAGTGGTTAGTTCTTCACTGTCCTCCTCCACCAACTCTTCCACATCCTCCCCACTAACCTCCAACCCCAAGGACTTCCCCAATGCCACAATTGATTCCACAACTGGCATAAACTTCTCAGGGTTAGCCTCAAATCCTTCAAAATCCCTTTTGTCTACACATTCTGGCCACAGTTTCTTCCAAGCACAGTTCAAGGTCCTTTTAGTCACTTCCTCCCAAGCCTTACCTATAATGTTTACACAATTGAGGATGCTAAAGTGATCTCTCCAAAACTCTTAGTCAATTGAGTTTCTGAGGTCACTACAAAGCACCTTTGAAGCATAGCTTTTGTGTAGAGTTTTTTGAAGTTTGAAATGACCTGCTGGTCCATGGGCTGCAGGAGAGGAGTGGTATTAGGAGGCAAAAACTTGACCTTAATAAAGCTCATGTCCCCAGAAAGTCGCTCTGCCACGTCTGAAGGATGACCAGGAGCATTGTCTAATACCAGGAGGCACTTAAGGTCCAATTTATTTTCCAGGAGGTAATTTTTCAGTGGGGGCAAATGCATGGTGTAACCAGTCATAGAAAAGGTCTCTAGTGTGACCCATGCCTTACTTTTTTGCCCTCCACATCACACACAAATTAGCCTTGAGGACATTTTCTCCTGAACATTCTGGGAGTTTCAAGAGTGATACACCAATAAAGGATTCACTTTACAATCACCACTAGCATTAGCACACATCAAGAGAGTAAGCCTGTATTTCATAGGCTTATGTCCTGGGAGTGCCTTTTCCTCCTGAGTAATGTAGGTTCTGTTTGGCATTTTCTTCCAAAACAGGCCTGTTTGTTGCAATTAAACACTTGTTCAGGTTTCAATTCTTCACTGTATGTAATCCTTGAATTCCTTCACATTTTTCAGCCGCTTTTTGGTCTGAACTGGCAGCCTCGCCATGCCATATCACACTATGTATGCCACTACGATTCTTAAATCTCTCAAACCAACCTTCGCTGGCCTTAAATTCACTCACATCACCACTAGTTGCAGGCACTTTTCTAATTAAATCCTCATGCAACTTCCTAGCCTTTTCACATATAATCACTTGAGAGATGCTATCTCCTATCTGTTTTTCGTTTATCCACACCAATAACAGTCTCTCAACATCTCTATCACTTGCGATCTCTTATTCGAAAACAAAGTTGCACCTTTTGCAAGAACAGCTTCCTTGATTGCTGTTTTCTTGACCACAATAGTAGCGATGGTTGATTGGGGTTTGGTATACAACCTGGCCAGCTCGGAGACATGCACTCCACTTTCGTACTTAGCAATTATCTTTCTTCATATCCACAGTAATTCTCACTTTTTTCTGCAGGGTTGGCACTAGAAGCTTTCTTGGGGCCCATGGTGACTTTATTTTGCAGGTACAATCACTAAAAACGCTGTGATAATACGAAATGTTCCTATTGTATGCTTGGATGTGACTGTGGTGGCTGGCTTGTAAACACTGGCACCCACGGGACAAGCGAAGCACACTCAGCCCACACGTGGACACATCTCGAACGAATCGCGTTGGGCGAGTTTTTTAGCGCTAGCCGAGGCAAAATTTTTGCGTTAAAATGTATCGCTAGCTGGATTTAACATTAGGTGATAACATCGTTACCTGAGGGTCCACTGTAATTATGATACAGGGGAACCTCGGTTTTCGTATGCCCCAGTTTTTGTTGAATTCGGTTTTCAACAACTTTTCGCCGAAATTTTGTCCCAGTTTTCAAACATCCGCTCTATTTTCGTAGAGTTGAAAATGGCCTGTACCAAACACATCTGTGTGACTCGACCACTCGAGCGCCCACACAAAGCATCCTATGCATTCATGATTCAGTCTGCGTTTGTTTCTCGTAAAGCAAGCATCACCCTGCATGTTCATCCAAAAAATTTTTTGTAATAATCCATTGTTTTTGTGCTTGTTTATCGAATGCAACTGCTAAATAAGCCACCATGAGGCCAAAGAAGTTCCAAATGTGCCTTCAGTGATTAAGAACGTGTGCAAAGCGGAGAGTGTTAAGAAGTTATGTGGAGAAATATCACCCTAACAAAGCTGTTGCAAGCCGTGTCTGCAACATGTTCAGTGACAATGCCGTGTCCCAGTTTAGGCAAATCTTCAAGAAACGCCAGAAACAGACCCCTCTGGACAGATTTTTTTGTGCAACAGGTACAGTGACTCCAGCTGGTCCTTGCTGCAGCATTAGCAACCCAAGCTTCACACCCATATAAGTGTTGGTACCACTAAACTTTCATACATTCCCTTCTTTGCCTCTACAGATAATGTTTTGTCTCCACATATACCTCAATGCACCACTCACCTTTTTTTCTTAATCAATTCTATGGTTAACCTCATCCTTCATACATACATACATCCATCCGCTGACAGGTCAACTCCCAAATAGTATCTGAAAACATTCACTTCCTCCATGCTCCTCCTCTCCAATTTGATATCCAGCTTTTCTTTATCTAAATCATTGGATACCCTCATTACCTTACTCTTTACTATGTTCACTTTCAACTCTATAAAACTTAATTTTTTTTTATTATTTTTGGGTGTCTGGAACGAATTAATTGGATTTACATTATTTCTCGTGGGAAATTTTGCTTCAGTTTTCATACGATTCAGTTTTCGTCAGACTTTTTAGAGCTGATTAATCACAAAAACCAAGGTTCCACTGTACTTGTGATTTACTCGTTAAGCATTTTTATATTTCATTTGCAAAAAAAAAAAAAAAAAAAAAAAAAAAATTTGAGCATGTTCAAAGTCAGATTTTTAATATAAGAAGTGGTTTCCATTTTACTGGATGCATTTAGTCTCATTTCTGTATACAGTGACATTTTAACTTACTGAAACTGAATGGAACTGAATAATTGTTAATTTCTGGAATCTCAATGTCTTCCTGTGTAAAAAACTGACAAAAAATAGTCATTAAATATGGAATACATTTCCAGTTCGTTATCTGTCAATTCCCAATTTTCAGAGGTCCTACTTTTTCCTTCACCTTCGTCATATACACTTGAGAGAACCCCTTTGGATTGGTCTTTGATTCATTAGCAACTAATTTCATAGTCACGTTTACCCTTTCTAATCCCCTTTTTTACTTCTCTTTTAAGCTGAACATACTGGTCAGTAAGATTAACCTCTCCTCTTCTGATGCGCCTATAAATTCCCCTTTTCTCCCCTCATAGATGTTTTAGCCTCCTGTTAACCCATTTGGGATCGTTATTATTAAACCTAATAATAATGATTGGACTATAGAAGTTAATTTCATAAAGGCTAAACATATTTCTTTAATAAAAGATACTGAGAAAATATTTGCATGCAAGGTCACCCAACAGACTGTCCACTTTTTGCATTTTCCCTAGATACACATATATGTATTTCCAGGAAATGGTAAAATGCTTCCTTACAAATAAGGAATTTTTTTTTTACATTTTTTCAACAAGTAGGTATTCCACCGAGAAATGGTAAAAATGACCAATTAAAAAAAGGAAAAATACCTGGTAACAAATTTCACAAGAAGGTAATATACAAACTTTAGCACTGAAAAATATTAAACTATCAGTTACCATGAATTAATAAACACAGGGCAATGCAATTATCTGTACTCTTGTAAAGGTTAAAAAAATAAAAATCCAAACTACCAAAACCTTCCTTTTCATGCACAGTGTCATGTCTAAACGAGAATTAATTTAACTTGCTGCAAGTTTACGATCGGAGTTCATCTTCAACTCCAAGTCCGTCTATCATCCGCTTTAAAAGCAACTTACCCAAATGTAAGATAGCTTTCCACCACATCCCAAATGGCCTCTTGTTTATCGGTTGTGAAGCTGAGGATGTCTAAGGCATGATCAACAGCTTCAAAGTCTGCTCGATCATTGACTGAATCAACAGTGCAACTTTCACCCTGGAAAATAAATTTTATGCATTTTCAAAATATGTATATTAATATTTCCATGCTTATTTTAAATGATGAAAGAAAATCAAACAGGCAAATAAATTGCAAGAAGTATCTGTTACTATTTTTTTTTAAAATTTCACAGACCAAATATTGTACTAATGTAAGTAGCAGACTGTGTAACCATTCAAATAAACTTTAACAATGGTAAAGTGCAGATTATACTAAAAATTAATAGATTTTTAGACGTTCTAAAAAATTCAGATTTATGAGAGAAAAGCAAATGCATTATTACAAGTAATAATCATAAAACACTAAAAATAGCTTAATAGATCAGAAAAATGTTGAAACTGACTTGGCTCACTACTCATACAAAGCAGAATAAAATAATGATAATAGGCAAGGAGATATAAACAAAGACTGACGCTCAAACAGAACATATCAATCATGTAAACCAGGATTTAGCACACCAATAAAAGAAATATCACACTAAGTTCAATAACCTAAGTTATATAACCTATGCGTAAAATGTGTAGTAGGGGAAGTTTTTTTATTACACAATGTTTAATAATATTTAAGGCAAACAGTCTAATAAACAAAAGGGCTCAATTTGTTACAGTGTTTTACATTCCTAGTTTGTGAGCAACTTACATTACAATTCACTATATTGATATAATCTACTAAACTGCCACTTCATTCACAAACAACTGCACATAAAAAAAAATACATGTTCAGTTGCACACCAAAACTAGTTACCAATAACCACACAAGTTTAAGGAAAACTTTCGATGTCTTCTGAAACTGCTGCCTTCAGTTCTGGCACAAAACTCAATAAAACCATCAAAATAGACTCCATACAAAATCCAAATGTATAATGTACATGCTTGGGTTGTGCAAATATGAACCATCTAGATAAAATGATATGTACATATCCTTTACAATCATCCAGAGAAATGTTTTGAGCTCTATATGTTTCACCACCTGAAGATACATTCATTCAAGTGCAATAAACAAACAATGAAATGACAAATCCCTGCAGTTATAATTTCACACTTTACAGTGACAAGAATGGCAAGATATTACAAGACTACATCTCTGCCTCAGACCCATGTAGGATAGGACAAAAACCTAAGGTTGACACACCACTATCGCAGGTAACACCACTAAAAGAATCCTAGTATAAATACTGTAATTATCCTTCATATTTTTTTTAATAAAAAAATCGAAGCAACAAAATCTCATTATATCTCAGAGTCCAGTATATTAACTGGTAGCAAATAATTCACAAGATTTTTGCTGGGAAGACAGTACGAGTAATATGTACCTTAAGTAGTGCCTTGAGAAGTGTGCAGTGGCATTAGAAATGTGCTACAAGGATGATATCAGCAAAGAAAAAAGATGCAAGTTAAAAAGGGAACCACTATTGCTAATGCAAGAAAAACAAAGAAAACAACAAACCTACAAGAAACAAGAGCAAAAATAAAGCAACACAAGTGAAAATATCAATACTTGTCTGCTATGCAAAATCAAAAACAAAAACCACATCTAATATCAGGCCCTCAGTTCTTGCCTTTGGATCAATTTTCTTACAGTAATTCTTTTAGTGTACCCCAAATACTTCACATGAATATACCTGCTTCAATCTAAGGCACACTTGTGTAGTACAAAAATAAAAAGTAAATACCATGTATAACCAACACCTAAAGGAAATGTGTGATAGCATTCTGATCTGTCCTGGACCACTTTCAAGTCAGAACAGAGAGAGAAAAGCCTTTTCCTGAGTAGTGACTTGACAATGGTCTAGAACAGACCAAAATGTCAAGTTTCCTCTCCTAATTGTGGGTTTACCTGGAGAGGGTTTTGGTGGTCAATGCCCCCGTGGCTCGGTCTGAGACCAGGCCTCATGGTGGATCAGGGTCTGATCAACTAGGCTGTTACTACCGGCTGCACACAAACTGACGTACGAACCACAGCCCGGTTGGTCAGGTACTGACTTTAGGTGCCTGTCCAGTACCTTCTTGAAGACAGCCAGAGGTCTATTGGTAATACCCCCTTATGTATGCTGGGAGGTAGTTGAAGTCTTGGGCCCCGGACACTTATTGCGTTCTCTCTCGACGTACTCATGGCGCGCCTACTTTTCATCGGGGGAATGTTGCATCTCCTGTGGAGTCTCTTGCTTTCATAGGGAGTGATTTTCGTGTGCAGGTTTGGTACCAATCCCTCCAGAACCTTCCAAGTGTATATTATCATGTATTTCTCTCGCCTGCATTCCAGGGAATACAGATCAACAACCTTCAACCATTTCCAGTAATTTAGGTGCCTTATTATACGTGTGCGTGCTGTGAAAGTTCTTTGTACGCTCTCCAGGTCTGCAAAGTCATCAGCCTTGAAGGAGGCAGTGTACAGCAGTATTCCAGCCTAGAGAGAACAAGCGATTGGAAGTGTGTCATCATGGGTTTGGCATCCCTAGTTTTGAAAGTTCTCATTATCCATCCTCTCATTTTCCTAGCCAATGAAGGAGATACATTGTTGTGGTCTTTGAAGGCAAGATCCTCTGACATTATCACTCGCAGGTCCTTCACATTTCTTTTTCGCTCTATTGTATGGTTAGAATTTGTAGTATACCCTGATACATTTTTAATTTTCTCTGTCAGCATAGTTGCTGATCCCCTTATATGTGTTGTATAGCATATCATAGTACCATCCATGTGTTTATACAGAAGATCCCTTTTAGGCCTGTGACTTTGTGTGACGTCACGGGATGCGCATGTGTACGTTTGTACCTCTGCCTCCTCCTCAGTCGGCGCACAGACATTCAGGCTAGAACACGGCAAGGCTGGGCTCCATCTCTCATTACCACAGTCTGACAATATAGCGTTATCATCCAACAAGTGTGTATCTTCAACCCTCGATATCTCCTTTTAAGAACCCCTACGACAAATGGTGGCAGCGGTGGGCCTGTAATCCTGACGATTACAGCGATTTCTGGAGAACTTTCTACTGGGCCTGCCGACATCTTGTGAGTAGGCCTGCCGCGCAGGGTACGCTCGACCTACCCCAGCCAGCTACCTCAAGCCAGCTACTCTCTCAAGCTTCTACCAGCCACTACATTATTCACTGGTCAGTCTCTTTGTATTAGTGTTTATCTGCTTATTTGCATCACTCCCGAGGGGTTGACCCAAGTTTGCAAAATAAGCCAGCTTCCAGTCTGTGGTGGGGGAGTCGGAACAACAGAGTCCAGTCCAGCCTAGCCTACTCCATCCAGTTTTTGCCTGCCAAGCCAGCTTTCCACCCCTGCTGTGCTCATCGTGAGAAGTTATCAAGCTATTCTGTGTGAAGGGTTAAGATAAGCCAGCTAGCAACTAACCCAGGTGTCTTACCCCAGTACTCAAGCAAGCCACGTGAGTACAGTCTTCATCGCTTGTGATTCAAGCTCCAAGCCATTCTGAGTGCTCTTTTTCATCCCTGTGGTGTTGGGGTATTTCGTGGGTGTATTTTAAGCCAGCCAGCTTAGAATATCTTCGCGCCAGTGTGGGTGTCCTCAGTGAGGCTTACGCCGTTCATCCCACAGGCCCACTGACCACATGTGTCTCGGTCTTAGCCCTGCTCAGCCCACTCACCACGCGCCCTCAGACGCCTCACTCAGCCACTCGCCCAACCTCTACCAGTGTTTTGGTACACTACTAGGGGTTATAGCACCATATTTTAAGGACCACATAGAGGGTCAAGAGCTAGTGTGTGTTTTGCGCCATCGCTGAAAAGCCTCCTGTGCGTGTATCGTCGATGTAAGCGCAATTCTACGATCACGCGAGGACAACAGTCAGCCATGAGACGATAGCCTCCATCCTCCAACCTTCCACCGTCTACTTAATTCTTCACCAAGTCGCTACAGTGATAAAATTTTTCAGAGACATTTGCGAGTGTTGAGACATTTCTTTTGTGTTCCAGTGATTTTTCTTAGTGACATTCAGTGACTCTTGATTAGACTCAGTATTTATATATACTGATGAATATTTTTTTATTTTAATTCAGTGTTAATTTTCGTGCATTATCTAATGTCTGTTGCGTTGTTTCTTTTTTATACACTTGAAGTAAGTACCTAGTGTTTTTCCCTTTGTTGTGTGTGCAACATATAAGCAGTATAGAATTTGTTTCCACTTCACAATCACCTAGTGTTCTCAGTATTCCAGTGAAGTATTTCAGTAATTTTTCACCTTATATTCTGCATCACAACTCAGTGTTGTCTGTTATATTTTCCTCCCAGTATTTGTGTATTCTTGTGTTCTCTGTGTGTTGAACATTTTTTTTGTGTTCATATTCTTTCATTTAGCCAGTGTGTAATTTGTCTTATTTCCAGACAATAGTGCCATTATTTTGTGCAAGCAAGAAATCATTATTATCAATGTTTTCACACATCAAGTTTCATTGCAAGAAAATTCTAGTATTGTGTTTATGTTGGTGTGTTGTGTTCTGCATCACTAAGTGTTCAAGCCTTTTTGTTCTGTGTTTTGTATCTATTTTTTTCATATTTCATTGAACAAATTCACTCTTAGTGCAATTTTTAAGTTCTTCTTTTAAAGTAAATTGTTCTTTTTCTTGTTAAGTGTTGCTTGAGTGCAGTTAAGAGTCAAAGTGTTCCCTCAGTTCATTCCTCGATATATTTCTTTTCTTGTGTGTGTAATATTTTTTTATTATTGCACATTGACTCATTTTGCAATAATTCTTGTGCAAACATTGTGTTACCATTTAAAAAATTTCTTGCAGAGATTTTATGCAGTGTTGTGCAATACTTTTTGATTAGCAATTATTTGCAATATTGCTACAGTTTATTTCAGTGCAGTTTCATATGCTCTGTGCATAATATTTTATTCCTTGTGTGCCATTTCATTTTATTCAGTGAATTGTTTCTCAGTTTGTTTTATTTTGCACAAGCTTTATTGAGTCCATTTTGTCATTTTATTGTGCATTTCCCTATTGCATTGAGAGTAAAGACAACTCACTGTGCCATTCATTCAATTTAAAGTAAAAGTTGAGCAAATTAGATTTGAGTAAAGTACAAGTTCTCTTGATTTTCAAAGTGTTGTTTGTTCAGTTAAGCATTTTCTCTGTGACTTGAGTTTCTTTGCTTACTGTGTGACCTGTCAATTTTTAATTACTTATGCAGAATAGTTAAGCATTTTCTTCCCATTTAAGTTCACTGTGTTGTGTGTTCCTCAGTTACGTTTTCTTTTGTTTCTCTAAATTCTTGTTTTACATTTTGCAAACATGTCTCAAGTTTTCTCAAGCGAGTAGTTGAAATTTCTCCTCGAATTTCATATTGTTTTGAGTGGCTCATTTGAAGATTTAGGTGATGTCCACTTGGAGTCTTGCAGTGTCTTCGATGGAGGTCACTGCGATGGCAATCCAGGTGTAATCCACAAAGGAAGACACTGAGCTATGGCTTGCATCTCTGTCTATGTCAGAAAGAGGATGAGGAATAGAATGGGAGTGAGTACTGTGCCTTGTGGAACAGAGCTTTTCACCATTTCTGCCTCATACTTTACTCTATTTACTATTACTCTGTGTTCTATTTGTCAGGAACCTATATACCTATCTACCAACTTTTCCTGCTATTCCTTCATTACGCATTTTGTGTGCTATTACATCCTTGTCACACTTGTCGAAAGCTTTTGCAAAGTCTGTGTAGACTACATCTGTATTCTGTTTATCCTCAACAGCATCCAGGACCTTGTCATAGTGGTCCAGGAGCTGGGACAGGCAGGAGCGACCTGCTATAAACCCGTGTTGCCCTGGGTTGTGCAACTGATGGGTATCTAGGTGGTTGGAGATCTTGCTTCTTTGAACCCTCTCAAAGATTTTGATGATATGGGATGTTAGTGCTATCGGTCTGCAGTTCTTTGCAATTGCTTTACTGCCACCTTTGTGGAGTGGGGCTATGTCTGTTGTTTTTAGTGTGGGGGGACGACCCGTGTCCATGCTCCCTCTCCATAGAATGCTGAAGACATGCGATAGGGGCTTCTTGCAATTCTTGATGTACACGGAGTGCCACGAGTCTGGGCCTGGGGCAGAGTGCATGGGCATGTCATTTATTGCCTTTTCAAAGTCTTGTGGAGTTAGAATAATATCCGATTTGAGATGACCAAATTTTGGGTAATGTTCATAAAGAATTCACTTGGATTGTTGACCCTTAGTCTGTGCAGCTGCTCGCTGAACACCGAGTCGTATTGGGACTTTAATATATCACTCACTTCTTGGCTGTCATCTGTGTATGTCCCATCCCGCCTAAGTAGGGGCCCAATACTGTTTGTTGTTTTCCCCTTAGATTTGGCATAAGTAATATTTTTTTTTTTAATTTCCTTTATGATTTGGTTCTTCCTGAGATTGTCTCCTGTAAGATTCCTTCAGCTTAAGTTTGATATTTGCAATTTCACTGACCCGTGCCTCCCTTCGTATTTCAGGTTACTGCCCCCCTCAGCAGCTCTGACTCCTCACCTTCGTCTGTATAGGGAGTGTTCTGAGTTTATATCTTCTCTTTCTTAATGGAATGCGTCTTGAGCAGATATCAAGAACCACAGAGTTCATTTTTTCTAGGTAAATGTTCAGATCCGTGTTGTTTAGGATATCTTCCTAGCTTGTTTCATTTAGGACATGGATGACTTGATCCCATTGTATGTTTTGGTTAGGAGCCCCATGCATACATGTCTGTACCTTTATTATCTTGTGATGATCTGATATTACATATCAGATCGTCATTGTTAGTGAAGATGAGGTCCAGCATGCTTTCTAGTCTTGAAGGCTCTAATATTTGCTGGTTTAAGGTGAATTTGGTGCAGATTAATTGTTCGTGTGCGTGCTGTGCGTGCGTGCGTGCCGTGTGCTGTGTGTGTGTGTGCGCGTGTGTGTGTGAATTTTCATCTGAGCTGCCTCCTGGGGAGGTCTCTGCTAACACATTGTTTGCTATACTCCTCCATTTTAGGTGTCTCGAGTTGAAATCTCCTAGTAGTAAGATGTTTGGGGCAGGAGTTGGGAGATTTCCAGATACTGGTCAATTTTCAAAAGCTGCTCCTGGAATTGCTGGGAAGTTGCATCGGGAGGCTTGTGTTTAGTAGTTCTGAGCAAATGAGTGACTGACATACAGGCCAACTCCCCCTTGCTGCCAGTTTAGTCTGTCACATCTGAATAGGTTATAACCTGGGATCCACATTTTGTCATAATGATCCTTTGTGTGTGTCTCCGTGAATGCTGCAAACATTGCATCTGACTCCGCGAGCAGTCCTTTGATGTAAGGATTTTTTTTTTTTGTTGTTGACGGCTTTAGACCCTGTAAGTTTGCAAAGACAAATGTTGTTATACTGGTGGAATTAAGGGGGGTTTTATTTACTGGCTCTAATATCTGTTGTTCTGGAGTGGAGGCCAATGTCCGTGCCTCTGCTCCAGAAGTGTTTTCAGTTGGTGTAGGATTACTGTCATTTCTTGCCAGTCTTTTTCCCCCCTGGCCCTAAAAAAACTGTCCTTCGATGGGGTGTGGCTCCCCCCCCCCCCCATTTGTTTCCCATAGTCTGGCTGGTCTGTCTTCTTGTCCCCCTTAGATGATGTGCCTGGCAGTATGCGTTGTAGCATTTTCTTTCATGGATTGACAAGCGACACTATTCTGGGTGAAGTAAGTTACAGGAGGGGAAGTTGCACTCTCCTGTTGCCATGTGGGTGCGACATTTTTTTGGGTGCTCAAACGGTTATTTGATTTATACCTTTAAGTTTCACTACTCCATTATTTAAATACCCAAGTCAATTTCACAACAAAGCACAACTGAATATCTGGTGGTAGCGTGTAACCTCAGTAAAGTAAAGTAGTATTCTAGGGAATGATAAGTGTGGCAGGTGTAAGTTATGTGGTAATCAAATGCCAATTAAAAAGAACTCAAATGGTACATATCACGATCAGACTATCACTGGGAGGCCTAGTCTGAGACCAGGGTGTGGCATGGTGATCCTCAGAATCACTAAGGTAGATAGATTCATGATAAGCTAAGACAACATTAGTCTACAACTTCAGCTTAAATTCCATGTGTAATTTTTGTTAACACCAAAGAAAAACAACAAATAAGAAATAAGGAAAAAGATAAGATTTAAATGTCCTTACTACTATTATAAACAAGGGCAAGGGCAAAGCAGTTAATGCTAATTCAATGGAATGTAAAAATATATTTAAACCCCTTATTATAAATGCTTCCCTATAGAAGTACAGAATGCTATTTTTACCTGTTTAAGATAGAAATAATTATTTGCATCCCTCTGCAAATGGAGCTTCTCTAAGAGTTCATCAGGAGCACCTGCCAGGAGTTGGTAGAAAATGTGAAAATTCCTCTCTCCCTCTTCTTGATGAACAACTCGTGACTTCTCTAGCAGGTAGTTCAGGATATGTCCTCCTACTGGATCACCCTGGAATATAGCAAATAATTTGGTTGCAAGAGAGATTTAATGTTAGTCAATGACAAATCTGCTACCTTTGAAGCAATAGTAACTGTGCAAACATTAAGGTTATAAATAATTTTAAGTGCTCTATATTAAACCTCTAAATATGGCTATACTAAAAATACATCTACTGTATTAACAATATTTTTTTTTTTTTTCCACACTGGCCGATTCCCACCAAGGCAGGGTGGCCCGAAAAAGAAAAACTTTCACCATCATTCACTCCATCACTGTCTTGCCAGAAGGGTGCTTTACACTACAGTTTTTAAACTGCAACATTAACACCCCACCTTCAGAGTGCAGGCACTGTACTTCCCATCTCTCAGGACTCAAGTCCGGCCTGCCGGTTTCCCTGAACCCCTTCATAAATGTTACTTTGCTCACACTCCAACAGCATGTAAAGTATTAAAAACCATTTTTTCCATTCACTCCTATCAAACACGCTCACGCATGCCTGCTGGAAGTCCAAGCCCCTCGCACACAAAACCTCCTTTACCCCCCTCTCTCCAACCTTTCCTAGGCCGACCCCTACCCCGCCTTCCTTCCACTACAGGCTGATACACTCTTGAAGTCATTCTGTTTCGCTCCATTCTCTCTACATGTCCGAACCACCTCAACAACCCTTCCTCAGCCCTCTGGACAACAGTTTTGGTAATCCCGCACCTCCTAACTTCCAAACTACGAATTCTCTGCATTATATTCACACCACACATTGCCCTCAGACATGACATCTCCACTGCCTCCAGCCTTCTCCTCGCTGCAACATTCATCACCCATGCTTCACACCCATATAAGAGCGTTTGTAAAACTATACTCTCATACATTCCCCTCTTTGCCTCCAAGGACAAAGTTCTTTGTCTCCACAGACTCCTAAGTGCACCACTCACTCTTTTCCCCTCATCAATTCTATGATTCACCCCATCTTTCATAGACCCATCCGCTGACACGTCCACTCCCAAATATCTGAATACATTCACCTCCTCCATACTCTCTCCCTCCAATCTGATATTCAATCTTTCATCGCCTAATCTTTTTGTTATTCTCATAACCTTACTCTTTCCTGTATTCACCTTTAATTTTCTTCTTTTGCACACCCTACCAAATTCATCCACCAATCTCTGCAACTTCTCTTCAGAATCTCCCAAGAGCACAGTGTCATCAGCAAAGAGCAGCTGTGACAACTCCCACTTTGTGTGTGATTCTTTATCTTTTAACTCCACGCCTCTTGCCAAGACCCTCGCATTTACTTCTTTTACAACCCCATCTATAAATATATTAAACAACCATGGTGACATCACACATCCTTGTCTAAGGCCTACTTTTACTGGGAAATAATTTCCCTCTTTCCTACATACTCTAACTTGAGCCTCACTATCCTCGTAAAAACTCTTCACTGCTTTCAGTAGCCTACCTCCTACACCATACACTTGCAACATCGCCACATTGCCCCCCTATCCACCCTGTCATACGCCTTTTCCAAATCCATAAATGCCACAAAGACCTTTAGCCTTATCTAAATACTGTTCACTTATATGTTTCACTGTAAACACCTGGTCCACACACCCCCTACCTTTCCTAAAGCCTCCTTGTTCATCTGCTATCCTATTCTCCGTCTTACTCTTAATTCTTTCAATAATAACTACCATACACTTTACCAGGTATACTCAGCAGACTTATCCCCCTATAATTTTTGCACTCTTTTATCCCCTTTGCCTTTATACAAAGGAACTATGCATGCTCTCTATACTATACTACTATATTTTTTATTTATTTTTTATTATCACACTGGCCGATTCCCACCAAGGCAGGGTGGCCCGAAAAAGAAAAAAACTTTCACCATCATTCACTCCATCACTGTCTTGCCAGAAGGGTGCTTTACACTACAGTTTTTAAACTGCAACATTAGCACCCCTCCTTCAGAGTGCAGGCACTGTACTTCCCATCTCCAGGACTCAAGTCCAGCCTGCCGGTTTCCCTGAACCCCTTCATAAATGTTACTTTGCTCACACTCCAACAGCTACTATATATACTATACTATACAAAAAACAATGCTGAGCTAAATTTCATAACAAGGGGCTGCCTATAAAGTATGTCAATATCATATATTCTGTAATTATTTTAAATCATACTTTGCAGACATAAAATTTATCATTTCTGATATAATAATCTAAATGGCACAATAGAGTAGCTCTGAACAAAGTTTCTAATACTCTATGTATAAAATCAACCAAAACAAAATTAAGAGGTACTGTAAATGTCTTGTACCAAACAATAACTTTTCTCTACTGCTGTATAAAAAAGAAGTACTGATGTCAAGGATATAAAATTCTGCAGAGAGATCTCTACCTTGAAGTTGAATTCAATGTCCATATACTTCCCAAAACGAGAAGAATTGTCATTTCTGTTGGTTTTGGCATTGCCAAAGGCCTCTAAGAGTGGATTGCTCTGGAGAAGGCGGTCTCTCACACGGTCCATCTCCCGTCTGTGAAGTGATGTCGCTGCCAAGAACCGCAGCACTTGCTTACTTGCTTCTGTTTTTCCAGCACCTGATTCACCTGCAAAGAGCACATCAAAATGAAGCATGTAATATTACCCATAACGAAACTCCTGTGGAGGAAGCTGTGATACCCATAAGGATCTTCTTTCTTTCAACACACCGGCCGTATCCCACCGAGGCGGGGTGGCCCAAAAGGAAAAACGTAAGTTTCTCCTTTTACATTTAGTAATATATACAGGAGAAGGGGTTACTAGCCCCTTGCTCCCGGCATTTTAGTCACCTCTTACAACACACATCGCTTACGGAGGAAGAATTGTGTTCCACTTCCCCATGGAGGCAAGAGGAAATAAACAAGAACAAGAACTAGAAAGAAATAGAAGAAAACCCAAAGGGGTGTGTGTATATATATGCTTGTACATGTATGTGTAGTGTGACCTAAGTAGAAGTAGCAAGACGTACCTGAAATCTTGCACATGTATGAGAGAGAAAGAAAAAGACCAGCAATCCTACCATCATGTAAAACAATTACAGGCTTCAGTTTTATACTCACTTGCCAGGACGGTATTACCTCCCTGGGCGGCTGCTGTCTACCAACCTACTACCTAGGACCCATAAGAATATCATGATAATTTTATATTAAATAGTGATAAACAGGAGAGGAACTCCACATGGAGCCTATTAAACCCATTTTCCAAATGTATTTGTGCAATCAGTCGAAGCCTTCTTGTTAAATTGTTTTTCAGGTCACACTACCTCGGAAGGAAAGGGTCAGTGTTTAAAAAAGTTTACAACCTAGCTTACTTTTGGCAAAATTAGCTCAAACAGAATGTTCCATTTATTTATATCAATACCCAGAGTATTCTGAATATCCTAATCACATCCTCTGGTTTTTCTTATACGGTGGTTACATAACTTAAGTCTCTCTTCGTACTTCCTATCTCTGTTAGCTTAATCCTGTACAATATTGCATTAATAGTAGTAATGGCAGTTTTTGTGATATTTACTGTGTGCTTCAACCATGTAGGTCACTAAGCAGTAAGAAACTTCAAATGCCAAAATAAAAATGAAATTAGCAAAAAAGTACTAACATGAATAAAATTCCCAATATAATTATAGTATTATTCTTTTCAACAAACCAGCCATCTCCCAGTGAGGTAGGGTGACCCAAAAAAGAAGAAACTTTTACCATCTTGTCTTGCCAGAGAAGGGCTGATATGTACTCGAGTTCAAAACTGCAAATATTCCCACCTCTCCTTCAAAGTGCAGGCACTGTACTTCCCACCTCTAGGACTCAAGTTCGGCTAATTGGTTTCCCTCAATCCCTTCGTACATGTTACCTTGCTCACACTCCAACAGCACGTCAAGTCAAAACCACACTCACTCCAATCTAACACGTTTAACACACGCCTGGATGTCCAAGCCCGTCGCACACAAAACACGCTGGTGGGAGATTAGTCTGTAAAAAATTGCATTGTGGTCACAGTGGTGCCTATCCTAACCTTCCTATGGTGTATAAATGTACCTAGTTGGATGAATCTTATTGTAGCCAGCTGGCCAAGTGGCTAACGTGTCGGTCTGGAGCTTTACGATTACCGCGGGTTCAAGTCCCGCCCTTGCTATGGTTTGTTTGCAATCGTGTCATTACAATTTCACGAGTCACCTTTTACCCTCTCCCTCCAACCTTTCCTAGAACGCCCCCTAACCCCCGCCTTCTCTCCACTAGATTTATATGCCCTGTCACCCTATTTTGTTCAATCTTCTCTAATGTCTGAATTACTTCAACAATACCTTTTTAGTCCTCTGGATGTATCAATTACATTTACAAGGAACATAATAAAGAATATTATCAATAAGTTTGGTTTACATTTTTGCAATATTTAAGTTGTCTTTCAGAATCTAATAAAGTACAGTACAAAGAAAATGAAAAGAAACTACTAAAATACAATAAATATTAAGTTGCACAGTATAGGATCTACCAACTCATGCCTAAAAGTTTAAGCCAAGAAATAAAATGGAAACAATGAAGTAAAAAAATCAAGATTAAATAATTCAAGGCAAATCCTACTCCAAAAGATTATTAATTCACGTAAATAAAATTATTCTCACTTGGCACATGACAATTATATATATATCTATATATATATCTATCTATCTATATAGCAAAGGAAGGGGTAGCAGTAATGTTAAATGATCAGTTATTGAAGGAGAAAAAGAGAATATGAATGTGTAAATTCAAGAATTATGTGGATTAAAGTAAAGGTTGGATGCAAAAAGTGGGTCATAATAAGCGTGTATGCACCTGGAGAAGAGAGGACTGTAGAGGAGAGAGAGAGATTTTGGGAGATGTTAAGTGAATGTATAGGAACTTTGAACCAAGTGAGAGAGTAATTGTGGTAGGGGACCTGAATGCTAAAGTAGGAGAAGAAACTTTTAGAGAGGGTGTGGGTAGGTAAGTTTGGGGTGCCAGGTGTAAATGATAATGGGAGCCCTTTGATTGAACTTTGTATAGAAAGGGGGTTTAGTTATAGGTAATACATATTTTAAGAAAAAGAGGATAAATAAGTATACAAGATATGATGTAGGGCAAAATGACAGTAGTTTGTTGGTTTATGTATTTGGTAGATAAAAGACTGTTGAGTAGACTTCAGGATGTACATGTTTATAGAGGGGCCACAGATATATCAGATCACTTTCTAGTTGTAGCTACACTGAGAGTAAAAGGTAGATGGGATACAAGGAGAATAGAAGCATCAGGGAAGAGAAGAGGTGAAGGTTTATAAACTAAAAGAGGAGGCAGTTAGGGTAAGATATAAACAGCTATTGGAGGATAGATGGGCTAATGAGAGCATAGGCAATGGGGTCGAAGAGGTATGGGGTAGGTTTAAAAATGTAGTGTTAGAGTGTTCAGCAGAAGTTTGTGTTTACAGGAAAGTGGGTGCGGGAGGGAAGAGGAGCGATTGGTGGAATGATGATGTAAAGAGAGTAGTAAGGGAGAAAAAGTTAGCATATGAGAAGTTTTTACAAAGTAGAAGTGATGCAAGGAGGGAAGAGTATATGGAGAAAGAGAGAGAGGTTAAGAGAGTGGTGAAGCAATGTAAAAAGAGAACAAATGAGAGAGTGGGTGAGATGTTATCAACAAATTTTGTTAGGTAAGACACATATGCAACAGTTAGGTATCTTTATTATGAAACGTTTCGCCTACACAGTAGGCTTCTTCAGTCAAGTACAGAAAAGTTGATAGAAGCAGAAGATACTTGAAGACGATGTAATCAGTCCATCACCCTTAAAGTTTTGAGGTGGTCAGTCCCTCAGTCTGGAGAAGAGCATTGTTCCATAGTATGAAACATATTGTTTCATACTATGGAACAATGCTCTTCTGCTTCTATCAACTTTTCTGTACTTGACTGAAGAAGCCTACTGTGTAGGCGAAACGTTTCATAATAAAGATACCTAACTGTTGCATATGTGTCTTACCTAACAACCTGTCGGTATTTTATACCATTTTAATGTTCAACAAATTTTGTTGAAAATAAGAAAAAGTTTTGGAGTGAGATTAACAAGTTAAGAAAGCCTAGAGAACAAATGGATTTGTCAGTTAAAAATAGGAGAGGAGAGTTATTAAATGGAGAGTTAGAGGTATTGGGAAGATGGAGGGAATATTTTGAGGAATTGTTAAATGTTGATGAAGATAGGGAAGCTGTGATTTCGTGTATAGGACAAGGAGGAATAACATCTTGTAGGAGTGAGGAAGAGCCAGTTGTGAGTGTGGGGGGAAGTTCGTGAGGCAGTAGGTAAAATGAAAGGGGGTAAGGCAGCCGGGATTGATGGGATAAAGATAGAAATGTTAAAAGCAGGTGGGGATATAGTTTTGGAGTGGTTGGTGCAATTATTTAATAAATGTATGGAAGACGGTAAGGTACCTAGGGATTGGCAGAGAGCATGCATAGTTCCTTTGTATAAAGGCAATGGGGATAAAAGAGTGCAAAAATTATAGGGGGATAAGTCTGCTGAGTACACCTGGTAAAGTGTATGTTAGAGTTATTATTGAAAGAATTAAGAGTAAGACGGAAAATAGGATAGCAGATGAACAAGGATGCTTTAGGAAAGGTAGGGGGTGTGTGGACCAGGTGTTTACAGTGAAACAGAAGTGAACAGTATTTAGATTAGGCTAAAGAGGTCTTTGTGGCATTTATGGATTTGGAAAAGGCGTATGACAGGGTGGATAGGGGGGCAATGTGGCAGATGTTGCAAGTGTATGGTGTAGAAGGTAGGTTACTGAAAGCAGTGAAGAGTTTTTACGAGGATAGTGAGGCTCAAGTTAGAGTATGTAGGAAAGAGGGAAATTATTTCCCAGTAAAAGTAGGCCTTAGACAAGGATGTGTGATGTCACCGTGGTTGTTTAATATATTTATAAATGGGGTTGTAAGAGAAGTAAATGCGAGGGTCTTGGCAAGAGGTGTGGAGTTAAAAGATAAAGAATCACACACAAAGTGGGAGTTGTCACAGTTGCTCTTTGCTGATGACACTGTGCTCTTGGGAGATTCTGAAGAGAAGTTGCAGAGATTGGTGGATGAATTTGGTAGGGTGTGCAAAAGAAAATTAAAGGTGAATACAGGAAAGAATAAGGTTATGAGGATAACAAAAAAGATTAGGTGATGAAGATTGAATATCAGATTGGAGGGAGAGAGTATGGAGGAGGTGAATGTATTCAGATATTTGGGAGTAGACGTGTCAGCGGATGCGTCTATGAAAGATGAGGTGAATCATAGAATTGATGAGGGGAAAAGAGTGAGTGGTGCACTTAGGAGTCTGTGGAGACAAAGAACTTTGTCCTTGGAGGCAAAGAGGGGAATGTACGAGAGTATAGTTGCAGCGAGGAGAAGGCTGGAGGCAGTGGAGATGTCATGTCTGAGGGCAATGTGTGGTGTGAATATAATGCAGGAGATTCGTAGTTTGGAAGTTAGGAGGTGCGGGATTACCAAAACTGTTGTCCAGAGAGCTGAGGAAGGGTTGTTGAGGTGGTTCGGACATGTAGAGAGAATGGAGCGAAACAGAATG